TGGAAAAAGAAAATATCTTAGATTTATTTTGGTACTATTAAAATTATTGGTAAGAATTTACATTATTTAGTATAAATAGTACATATTATATTTTGGGACTCTGTAAATCATCCGTTAATAATTATCGCAGTAAAATAACAACAATAGGTACTCTGTTCTTGTCATTTAAAAACATGATGCCCTCTAACGATGCGTTAAACAATTTTTTATTTACAACACAATACATAATAATACTATGGAGCAACATGAATTGTTGATTGTTAAACACATATATTAATTTAGAAGTTAAAATTTATCGATTTAAAAATAATATTACACGTCATTCCTCATATGTTTACAGTTAACAACTTGAAAAATAAATTAATTTAATTTGAGTAATAAATTAATATTATTTCTCTACTCATTCCAATTTTCAATACTTTTTCTTCTTTGTTATCGCAACTTCAGCATTTTATTCAAATAAAAATGTGTATAATGAATTATGAGTTGAACATGTTAAATGTGACATTTGAGGCCTTATGTCATAAATGAAATCAATAAGCTGGAAATTTTGTAATTTACATTAAATTATTATATTTATATAGAAATTATAAATATTTTTCTTGATAATGTACTTATAAAATTTTTAGAATAAACATAAAATAATCTCCAGAAAATAGCTGAAATATTCTAATAAAAATTGTGTACAATGCATTATTTTTCTTCATATTTCTTATCCGCGTGTGTTACAGACAATAAAAATTATTAATTCAGCGCATTTGACGAATTATTCCTATGAGATTAACAAGATATTTACGCAACGCTGTAGTTGAAAAGATAATACGTATTGTATATTTTTACTTACAATTAATTTTATTAGTTTTTCCATAAAAACTATGAGAGTGAATTGAGATTTTGGAAGCAGTAAAAACGATCAACTATTCATCGAGGTTTTGTTTGCATTTAATTAAAGAAGTAACCAAGTTTGAAGTTATTATTAGTGACTATCATTGAAGCTTAACTTTAAAGCTTTTCGATAAACTGTATATTTCGATAAGTTAAATTTTAATCATTAACATAAGCCTTGTGACAGATTAATCGCTGTCCTTATATAACAAAGCTGTCAAAATTGATAACAAAGTTTGTTCATTGACCATTGAAATAGCGTACAAAAGACAAAATCATAAAGACTAGATTGATCCAGAAGGAATTGTTAGGTTTATGTTGACCACGTCTTGAATTATTGTGCACTATTTATACGTCTTATCTTAATGACCATAAAACGTTGAGCTAAGACGGTTTTATTTTATTTTGGACATAACGGTACCAACGTTTGTTAATATACTTGTTAGAGATACCCAGATAGTATCCTTGGCGTCTACCTATTTATGTAATAGGAAATTTGTCGACTTATTACATGGTGACCAATTCCTATTTTATGAGTACCTATCTCAAAATCATTTATTGTTTACATTATTAAATAATTTCTACTCCCAGAATAATATTCCCTCATTAAAATTGTGGTAGCATTGTTATGGGGCAATTTCTTTAAAAAGTTATATTAATATTTCAACTATCCAAGTGTGCCTAACTGGAGTAAAACGTAGCCACTTACTATTAACTTCAAATAATATTTAAAAAATGACTTGTTATTTATAACACTAAAAAGAATATCGTGTAACTACTAACCGAACATTTTTATTTTTGCACTAAACGTTTGCAATAGAAGTAGGTGATGTGGAAAAGCGATATCAAAATTTACTGAATTTAAAGTTTTCTTTTAAACCGATTCATAAACTTATTGAGTCTATTCTTCGTAATAAAATTTTATTTCTACCTAATCCGTAATACAATTTTTTTTAAAACTCCATTCCTGAAATAATATTAAAAATCCTCACAAAGTATATTTATTTTTATTAATTGGAAAATAATATATTTAATATTTCATAAAAAGTTATTAATTATTTCAACGATACTTAATTGTATAAAATAGATAGCTTGAAGATATCTAAAATAGGTATTATTATTGTATAATATTAATTTACCATCGTTGACTTAAAAAAAATATATCCAATATGTGTAAATCACCAAATCAACTAATATATTACTTATCAAGTTACGTAACATACATTATTTTCAATTGTTGCTACAACATACATACAAATATATTTTACCCTGAAGAATTTATTTTATTATACTAACTTATCAGTTATAAATCAATCATATTCAGTATTCAAGAAATATTGATGAACGTTATTTGTAACAATCAACACTTAAATTATAATCATAACACTATAAAAAATAAAATAGTGGAGACTAGGAGACCTTTAATTCAATTTTTATATTATAAATCAATCATTCGTAGTTGTTGTCGACATTTTAGAGTATTTGAGGTCAGCACGTTTAAATTATATTCCATAAAGCCATAAAAACTTCAACACACTAGTTTTACTATTAACATTTCTTCTATATTGTTAGTTTTTAATAATATTACACTATGTTGAAAATAAGAAAATAATTAATTTAATATAATTTTTTAGAATACCAATGAAGTATTTTTAATTACTTTTTTATTATGATCAATTTAAATACAAGTTTTTGTTGTATAATCCGAAAATATATTTTTTTGAAAAATAAAAAAAATATATATATTTATATTTATATTTTGAAAAAAATTATACATATTTAAATGTTTCACACCAACTGACAACGATTATAACTTTTGATACAATTATCATTTTGTTGAATTTTTTTTTTATTATTATTATTAATTCACTTCTTAGACTACGTTTAAAGTATATTTTTATTATTTATTACAATGAGTAAAAAATATAATAATAATTGTTTTTTTTTTAATTTCAAAATAACCGTTTTAATTTTTTCTTTCAAAAATTATGATTTAATAAAATAATTTTAGAACAAATACATAGAGTATCATAAACTAAAAAATTTAATTTCTTTTAGTTACATTTATTTTTTGATTTATCAGCTAATAATTACTTTTTAGTATTATTCCTTATACCCTAAGGGGTATAAATAGTATTATTTTAAAAGACTACATACATATTTAACTAACTTATCTAATTAAGAAAATAACTGGTTGGTAACAACTTTTGGATCAGTACTGTGGAAGTTATTTTAATTGTTATCATGCAGTCATTTTTTCATCATTCCAGTCATATGTTTTAAATGCAGTCTAAGAAGGCAATAATTATTTCAAAAAAATAATTTTTATAAAATAATAATATTATCAGAAGTTAAAAGTATTGTCAGTTAGGCATTAGACCAGATTATATATATATATATATATATGATTTCACTATCAGATTAATTATTATTTTGTTGTTTTCAATTGTACAAAATAAATAAAAATTCTCATTAGTAGCATAAATAATTACTATATTTAAAGATTTAAAAGTTTAATTAAATCACAGTTTATATTAGCATTACTTAAATCTGAATAATATAGATATTTTTTAATTAAAAACTCTTTGGATATTTAAATCTATCAGGGATTTTAAATATTTTATCAATCTCAACAAATAGTTTTTTAATCGTTACTTAAAAATCTATTGGTTTTAATACTATTATTAAAAATATTTTGATACATAAATATTGAACTCGATTTATTAAATTGGCTTATTTTTTTATTTTTAAATATGACAATAGTCTTAATCAAGATAATAGCGTTGTATAACGAGAAAAGTTTATTTATGATTAGGTTTGAAATAATTTTTATTTTAAACATAAATAATTATAATTAACAAATATTATGGAAATTAACCCTTATTTATGATGAATTATCATATATAAAAATTTGATGTAGTCAAATAAATTGAGAATCGCTCAACTTTATTTGAGATTTTATATTTACTCTACAAAAATCAATTTTTTATCGGTTTAGTATAAATACAATACTGAATTATATGTAACACATGCTATATGAAAACAAATATATCTACACTTAAAATTTATAGAACAGACATATTAAAACAATATTTAGTATTCTTGTAAATATTTTAGAAACAAATGAATTTCAGTGATTATGTATTTTATTGTTTTAATTATTTTATTCTGCTGAAAGTCGTAAAATCATTTTTAATTTCTGATGATTTTTGATTATATTATTTTGTAAGATCTAAAGATTCCAATTATTAAGTAGACTAATACAATTTAATACACTATTTTATTAGAATTTACCTGTGTGAAACATATGGTTTCTAAATATTAAATATTTACAGAGTGATTAAATTATTGTTAACCGTTGAATTTCTTCTATAATAATAATAATGATGAAAATAATTGATATTGTTTAGTATTATTAATTTCTCAATTTAAAAGTAGTTAAATATTTTTAGGTCTATCTATTTTTTTTTTTAATTAATTTTTTTTTTAAAGAAATTAAGTGGTTAACGATAAAAATTAATCATTAAATATATTATCCTTTATTATACACAGTACATTACTTATGAAAGTTTTCTATCTATCTATATATGAAGTTTATATTGACTCTTCTATTGCCATTATTATAACTCCTCTCTTATTCAATATTACAATGTGTAAAATTATTTTACATTGTAATGAATTAAGGAAAATACGAATGCTTAAATTCTACAAGTTTACCATAATATCTTAAGTAAAATCACAGTTGTTTTGGATAATTTATACTCAAGTTTTGAAATGTATAATGTGTCTTGAAATGTTTCTTCAGCTATATAATGTAATACAGATATAAGTTAAAATAGCTTAAAACTTTTAACTTTAAAGACAATTTGAACAATTCAAACTAACTTTATTGGCTAACATTACTAATTTGTTTTAAAAAAATACTTGTAGGACATTTAATTGACATTTAACAAAAATAATTGATATTCTCATTGACAGAGATATCAAGTTTAATTATTTTATGCTAAAGCTGTTATTAAATAGATGTTTTTGTTCTTTATAGCACTAGTAGATTATGAAAGATATTTTTTATAAAACTATAAATAGTTAATTAATATTTTATTCTACTGTTACAGGATATGCGTTCAAAAAGTGTATGTCTGACGGTACTTGGTATAAATTGCCATTAACGGGAAAATATTGGGCTAATTATACAAATTGTATAGACACTGAAGATTTACAAGTAAGATTAATTAATAACACTCTGAAGAATTCACATAAATTATCAAACTTAAAGAGTGTTAAAATTTTACTGGAAAATAATTCAGATAACTCTGTTTTTATTTAAAATTTAATTTAAAAAAATGTTTAGTTTTAAGAAAGTGTATCTGCTAAAAAATAATAATAAATAAATAATATCTATAAAAAATTAATCTAAGAACTAAAAAAAAAAAAATTATGTAATCCAATTTATTACACAAATTATAACTATTATGTATGTTTTGTTTTAGTTTAGAAACTTAGTGAATTCATTGTTTATCATTGGTTATTCAATATCTTTGGCTGCTCTGCTCACATCGTTGATGATATTCTTTACGTTCAAGTAATATACTAATAAACTTATAATTAAAGTCTTCAGAAGAACAAAACAAGAGTTTATTTAGAGGTGGGGGGCAACTAATTTTTTTTCACTTTGGTAAGCATGCTTGAAACCATTTTTTTTGCAGAAAAGCAAAGTGACGCCGAAAAAAAAAATTTTAAAGCCATATTTTGTAAATATTGATTTTAAAACCCCTAGTATATTTGTAACGTCATATTTAAGATAGGTATAGATTATATTTGGTAGTGATTAACATTATGGCCAAAAAAAAAAGTCTTTGAAGCCAATATGTTAATATTCAGAATAATTAGTGTATTAAATGTACAAATTATTCTAAATGTTAATAATTGTTAAATTATTTGCTTAATTGAAAATGACATAATTTTTTTTAAATATTGTGGTACACATCAAAAGTTTCTATTTGATATAGGATAATCCTTTTAGATCATTTTCAAAAATTGAGTTAAAAAAATAATTTTACGTATGTGAGTGGTGTTTTTTAAGACATTCCCATACTAAGGTTTCTCATTGGATTTTCACAAATATATACCAAAAGAAAGATTATTAATCTCCTATATTTTATTAAAATTTCATTAGAGTCTGAGCTATTTTTTTTTACTTTTAAAATTACGATTTTTTTTTAATTTTTGATACTGATAGGTTCAACTAGATTAAAATCACGTTCTTTTGACGTATTCATCACTGAGAATTATTCATGGAAAAACATAAAAACACACACACCGTCACAAAACCAAGTTCGCATCAAAACTAAAATATTGATGAAATTAACATTATAATTATTTATGATATCTAGTATTATAGTACCTAACCCTAAATAAATAAAAATATTTAACTGTTAATTTTCAATCTGTACATATTTCAAAATATATGTGTATATTTTTAATTGCATTATTTTAAACATTTGTTAATATTTTTCAATTGACTTACTGACCCAGATTTATTTTCAGGTCACTGAGATGCACTCGGATAGCTATTCATGTACATTTGTTCATATCATTAGTCTTCACTAACGTTGCATGGATCATATGGTATAAAATGGTTATATCGGACGTGTCAGTGCTTCAAACGAATGGGGTAAGATTCGCTAGCTAATCATAAAAAAAACACCCATAGGTTTTGAACATTTACTTAATGCTGGTGGTTTTCTTTTATACTCGACTTTGCAGACGTCATAATAAACTTTCCGGATATTTATACGACGGATTTAATAACTTAGATTTTTATGACCTCCAAATGTACGTGATTACACTACGTTAGTCTCGTGAATAGCGTATGCAAAGAGAAACCACAAGTTTTCTCAAAATTGAACGTAGTATAGGAAATCACTATGGATCATTTGATGCCCACTGTCTTAAGTTTTTGTAGTCTTTATTAATAACACTTAAACGTAGTTTTCATTGATAGTTCGAAATTGATAAGGAAATATGAGCATTCGTTTACTTTTATTATAATTATTTTTTTGAATAAATGTAAGACATTCCAATAAACCTTCATCAGTATTTTTTACATAGTTATTCGAAAATCCATTAATCACCTACGTTTGTTTTACTTTGGGTTAGTGTTACATGAAGTGGTTCGAGAATAATTTACACATTTCAATGAAGCGATCGACTTGATTATATTGCATAAATAGTAGTTTCAATACAATACAGTACTTAAAAAACAAACTAAATCGAGCGCTTTTGGACATGGCAACTTTTATAATTTATATTTACTTACGGCAAACTTGATCAAAGATTAAACGTTGAATGTTAAATGCGAATCAGTTACGTATGTACGATTTTTATTGTATGGAAACTAATATTTTTATTTTACTGTACACACGATAACACATAAAATTTGACATTATCTTTATAAATAATTGTGTGAACATATTAACATTTATGTAATGTACTTATATTTTTCAACAGATATTGAAACGATAAATAAGTTATTTTAAATTTCCCTTGTGCGTTTATAATAAATATTTATATAAAAAAAAGAAAGTTATAAGTAGAATTTTTCTTTATTTATATGCAAAACTTAAAACACATGTAATAAATTTACAATTTTAATAATGTCTTTTTAATATTTTTAACTCAACTATTGCTTTATTTTTTCAAGAGTAAACAATGCAAGAGCAACGTCTTATTATTTTACTTTGTTCTGAATATGAATTTCAAAGTGGATCTTGATTTTCCTTCCATTTTTAATCTATATAAAGTAAATATGAATGAAGTTAAGAATATTCTTATAAGTAAAATGTTTACCACACAAAAAACCTATTATATATTTTTCGATTGAATCTCGGCTCAAATCAAAATGAATTTCTCTTTTATACATAAATTTTTATTTTTAACCTCATTTTATCAACAGGAATGTGCTTAAAACATATCCATTACAGTTTTCAAAATAATTACTTTTACATAAAAAATAGAATTTTGTATCCTATGTACACCGAATAACAATCTGTATAAATGTTTAAAATCTAAATATTACGAGTCAAATACGTATTTGTGATAATACTCCAAGTGAAGTTCAAATAGTATCACAAATGTAATGTTATACTCTTAAAAGATACTTTGAATGTACAATCAATCACATTTAAATCATTTTTTTTCGTTTTTAAAATTTTGGTTTTTGCAGAGTTCTTCTTTTTCAAACACTCACGTCATTGAATTGTAACGATCATATATTTTTAATGCATTATAGTAATGCAGACTACTTTATAAAAATCTTTTACATTGCAAAAATATAACATGACTCTTTTAAAGTTAAATGCGCTCTGGCAATCACAATAAAATGTTGTAAATAAAGCTTTTTTTAAATACCTTTTATTATTATATGCCATTTTTATTTTATTTTTATAAATATTATTATAATATGTATGTACTCATGTTTAAAAACGATTCCAGATATATTGTCGTATACTTCATGTTCTTCTTCAATACTTTATGGTAGCCAACTACATGTGGATGTTTTGTGAAGGTCTTCATTTACATCTAGCCTTAGTAGTGGTATTTGTTACGGACGTTTATGCCATGCGATGGTTTTATACTATCGGCTGGGGATTTCCACTAGTAGTGACAGCCATATATGTTGTGTGGAGAAGCAAAACGAATGAAGATACATCAGAGTAAGTTCAACGCGAGCCATTATTTGCATAATAGTTCAATGACTATAAGGTCAAATTTTGCTACACGAAAATAGGCTAGGACAACTTTTAGAAAATACAGAAAAAATTTAATTAGATAAAACTTTAACATTTACTAAAGTTTAGAACAAACTAGAAATTTGTTAATAGTTAGTTATTACACTACTTTCTTAGAAACTCGAAAAAGTAAATTGCGAGTAAACATAAATTAGTAGTAAGTTTGACAGCGATAATTAAATGTTAAATAGATTTTAGAAACATTTCTATACTTATCTGCGTTTGGTTTGTTCCTAAAATAAATAAAAACACGTAATACAAGTACAAAAGTTTCTGATACTGCGTATCTGTTATGTGTTATTTAATGAAAGGTAACTTTTTAATTAAATCCATTAATGTTATTAAATTTTTAGTTATGATTAATAGCTATAGTGTTAAGTAGCCATGCTAAAATTAATTTTTTTATATTTATCTATTACATTTCCGTCACCATTTATAAACATATAACTAAAAATTACGGTTAACCTAATTGATTTTCAAAAATCAACAAAAAATAATACAATATTCTTTATCTAAAATGTATAAATTTGTTTATTAAAATTTAATAATTGCTCAGTCAAATATAATTTTTTGATATATTTGTAAATATAAATTTCAGGTGTTGGATGGATGAAAGCCATTGTCATTGGGCGCTGTCTATTCCAGTTCTCCTCTCAATATGCATCAGTCTACTATTTTTGATTAATGTCATGAGAGTTTTACTTACAAAATTGCATAGGAATTCAATTAATCCAGCACCAATAGGTGTCCGAAAAGCGGTTAGAGCAGCATTGATACTTGTTCCTCTATTTGGTATCCATCACATACTTATACCTTACCGCCCTCCACACAATACTGCATGGGAGAAGGTTTACCAATTGTTTACTGTAGCTTTAGTACCCACTCAGGCAAGTACAAAATAAATAAATCGAATAAAAGCTTTTTTACAAATAAATTTTGTATGTATAAAAGTATTTCATATATTTTTTTAATGGATATTTTATTTATGACAAAATACTTTTAGGTTATCAATTGTTAAAACAAATTTATATTTTAGAAGAATGATCTTGTAGTTTTTAAACTTAAACCGTTTAAAATTTAATAATTTGTATTACTATTGCAGGGTCTTTGTGTGTCTGTATTATTTTGTTTTGCCAATGTTGATGTGCATGGAGCTTTTCATAAGTATATAAGAAGAATAAAAAGAAGAGGCACTATTCACACAAATGTTACAGGTACTACGCAACCAGTACAGTCACAAATCAGAGACGTTATTGTCTAAAAGTTAAACTTATTAGTTTAATCCAGACAAAACTATTATTTGTAAATATTAAGTGATCTAAATTATATGCTATTAAAATAGGCATACTGCCATTTGGTGGTTTTATTAAATATATTTTATTATTGTAATTAATTTAAATTATTTTACTTTTGTAAAAAAATGTTTTCCTTAGTATCTTTAAATAATAATTTAGTACTAAAATCTATTCTAAAACACAAGCAATAATGAGTATACTATCCTCAACCAAAACGCAGCAACAAAAAAGGACCAACCTCCACCTATCAAAAAATTCCGCCTATCAAAGTAGTGATATTTACATGGTCACCAAGTTTGCCCTTTCTTTAGTTCATAAACTTTAATATTTTTTCCATATTGATTCTTTATTCGTATTATATCAGTGATATCTACATTAAAAAATGTTCCCCTATCTAAGTAGATAGGTGGGCATATTTAGGAAGAAGCGAAATTGACCCTTATTCACAATCGAAATTTTATTGAGGATATCATTCCTTTTTGCTGTCTCAAGCCAATAATATATATATATTTTCATGAGCTAGTAAAAATTTAAGACGGCGAATCTCGTCCTGTTATTATTAAATAACGCTTCTGTCTGTAAAATCGTCTATTTTGAGAAAATAACAATTTTCAGATTTTTCCTTTGCGTTACAACCGTAAGAACTATTTTTGTGCCAAATTTCATATTTCTACATACATAAAGTTAGTGTCTTATATTTTTGATGAGGAGTCAGTAAGAAAAATGAAAATGTAGAAACTTTCTCATTTTTTAAATGACATATCATTAAGGGCTAATATTTTTATACTGATCCTAACTACTAAACTTAGCCTAACGTACTGTTTTCGCTCAATTCAAATTCCAAATTTTATTATTAGATACACTATCTTTATTTTATAAGCTATTGAACAGAGTGATTATTTAGAAATACAATTTAGATCAATTAAGTAATGTAAACTTTACTTCAATACTATTGTAAATATGAATCTAACATTTTAAAGATTCTTAGAAGCAAAAACATGAAAGTTTTAACTCAAGTTAACACAGTTGTTAACTAATTAATACTTAAATATACAGTTAATTTTTTCAATTAAAAATGATAATTTTATTATTTCTCCATCAATATAATTAATCATATTATTTAAAGTAAATGATTGTTAAATATCTTCAACTAGATTTTCTTATTTGTTTGTAAATGAAATGTTGACAAGAATAAATTTTTTAAATGAAATATTTAAAAGATAAAGAAAATTTCATAATAATATATTCATTAAATAATATCAAACCAAATTTTTTGCTTTAAAATAATTATTAATACAATTTTTTGCGATTCATAAATTTAACAAAAATTAATAATTTTTCTAACTTTATAGTAATTGTTAAGAATTTTGAACTATTTATCAACGTTTGTTGAACTATTCGTCACAAAGTATACTACAATGTGTTACTAAATAAAAACAATAAGTATTAATAAAAATCATTAATTTATTAATAAGGAATCAAGGATCATAATGATAAAACCATCTAGAAACAGAACCTCAGAATTTATATATTTTATTTTCTAAAAATATGTAACTTTGATCAAAAGTAAATTTTTAAGCCAGTTTCTTTTTAATCTGCAATAAATGTTTTGATCAAATGAGAGGAATGGCCCTCTCTCCTAAAATTAATTTAATGATGTCCATGTACCAAAAGCTAAACATAATTATCCCAGTATTCAACAAAATGCTTAAACTTTTAATGTGTAGAATTATTTAAATTAGTTTTTATGGATTTATTTAATCTTTAAGCGAAATGGTAGGATACCCAGAAAGTTAAAAATTCATCATGAAATTTTTACTGATTAACTATAATTATTATTCTTATTTTTATAATATAAATTTAAAAACTTTTAATTTATTTCAAAAATAACAATTATAATGAGACTAATTTTAGTACAAGTCTTAGTGTTAAAATGATTAATAATTTATTTTAAGTAACAAAATTTGAAAAATGTTTGTTATTAATATTGTTTTTTTCATATTTGATAATTAATTAGTACCTAATTATATGAAAAATTTGAATATAAAATATGAAATATATTTTCTCCCTAGCAATCAGTGGAGTTCTAATAAACGAGTTGATTAATACACTAGAACAAATATTTAAATGAAGGTAATTTTTCTGCTTAGGATGTCTAACATCTAACATTTTACATTTTATTGATTTTCGATTGAACATTAGAAATAACAACTTTTATTATATCTACACAACTATTCATTTCATAGATATTAATAATATTTGAATATTTTTCAAATCATGTGTTATTTAACTTCGCATCAAAGCTGAGAAAGTATTAATTTAACAAAAATTTTTATTTTTTGACTATTACATTTTTTCTTAGAAATCTTAGAAATTGAGCCAATTTTTTTCAGCCTTAAAAAAATTAAAGAAGGTAAAAGATAAGTCTATAGACTTGTAAAAGTAAGAGAAAAAAGGTCTAATGATCATCACTATGTGAGGTGTATAAAAAGTGTTGATAAAAGGATGTATTGAATGATGATAATGTGAATAACAGATGGAAAGAGTAATATGAAAAATGACTGAATAAGGAGTATCCAAAAGAGACATTATCGAATAATATAACGTGGAATGAGGGACTAGTATATTTAATTAGTGAGAAAGAGGTATGGGAGGCTGTGACATCAATGAAAAAGATTAAAGCAGTAGGGCCAGATGATGAGCCAACAGAAGTAGGGAAAATATTAGGCGATGTTGGTATAAGGTAGATGAAAGATCTTTTTAATAAAATCTTATTAAAATGTAAAATGCCAAAAGAATGGAAGAATAGTATTGTGATGTCGATACTATGACTCATAAAGCTTATGAGTCATAGTGTGAAGATTTCAGAAAAGGTAATAGATAATAGAATAAGAAATGAGACATCAGTATCTAAAAACCAGTTTAGATTTATGCTTGGTAAGTCAACAATGAAGCCATTATTTTATTTCGGACAATTATAGAAAACTATAGTAAAAAGAAGAAAAAGTTGTGTATGGTATTTATATATTTGTAGATAGCTTATTATAGATTTCCGAGAGAGGTTTTAAAATTAGTGTAACAGAGATGAGAATGCTTAGATGGATGAGTGGAATGACTAGAGAAGATAGGATAAGGAGCGAACATATAAGAAGAAGTATAGGTGTGGCGTCAATCGTAGATGAGATGAGAGAAAATAGACTTAGATGGTTTGGTCGTGTTATGAGGAGAGAGGAATCGGAAGTTGTAAGAACAGTTATAGAAATGAATGTTGAAGGAAGAAGAAGTAAGAAAGACTAAAAAAGAGATGGAGGGATGTTATTGAATGCGATATGACGACGACTAATGTGAGCATAGATGATGTGGACGTTAGGATAAGGATGGCCATCCCCAGGTAATTTGGATTAAGGCGAGGAAAAAGAAGAAGAAATATGTGTTTATTAAATATTTCTAGAAGTTATTTATTTAAATTTTTTGTTTAAAAAGAATTATGTTCTTAGAATATGAATATAATCTATAACAGAAGTGTTAATTGTATTAAACAAAAAAGGTTAAATAAAAATACCAGTATTTCGGACACAAATAGAGTAGCCAATTGTTATTCTATATCATTATAGTGACGAATGTAATATGACAGATTGTTTCTCCAGTATTGTAAATGCCATATTAATAAACCATGATAAATTCTTCTTTTTAGTTATATATGACATATATGTAAATAATAAGAAATTATGTTTAAGAGTGTACATATTACGACAAATAAATGATTTGTTTGTTTACAAGTTATATAATACACAAATTATATATTAGCTTTGACGTGAAGCTGAGAGGGTTTTAATTTTACCATGATGTGTTTATTTATTTTTTTCTCAACTCTCACAGGAACAATTTTTCTCAAAGATACGTCAAAAGATTATATATCAAATGACACAAATGATCACATATCATATTCAGTTGAAGACATTACCCTCAAAAATTGAAAATTTTTCCCTCGTTTTCCGTAAATTTAATATTAAATTAAAACTTATGTAATATACTTTACTATAAAAAAAAATTTCGAGATATAGTGAAAATGCCTATTTTTGTGTTAAAATTCTTGGTATTGTATTTTATACAGTTAACTGTGCTAAAAGTCAAAGAGGCAGATAAAGCAGATTTTTTTATTGTATATATTGGTCCTGAAACATATAATCATTTGAAAGTAGCGTGTTTATCGAACAAACCGGGTGATAAAGTGTACGATGAATGAATTACTATCCTCGAAGGAATTTTTTCTCCACGTCGATTAGTGGTGAGTGAACGATTTAAATTTAATCAACGTGTTCAACGGGCAGGTGAATCTATCCAGATATTCATCGATAGTTTAAAAAATTTAGCAAACTTTGCGAATTAGACACCTTTTTGGACGACGTGTTGCGAGATCGTCTTATTGTTGGCCTGAAGGATGAATTAATATAACGCAAATTACTTGGCGAGAAGACTTTTATGTTTGAAAAAGCATGTGAAATTGCCTTAAATTCCGAATTAGTCGGTAATCAAACTAGCCAAATAAACCAAATAAAGTGGTTCGTCAAATCAAAATTACGCCTGGGATCAGCTGCAGAATCAGTCATCTCAAGGTAATAGTCAGTTAGTTAGGCAGTGTTTTCGGTGTGGGAGAAATCATGATCATCGTACATGTCCAGCAAAAGAGTAGAAATGTTTTGCATGTGGGGCCATGGGCCATATCTCAAATTCAAAAATTTGTTAAGTCAAAATAAAGGGTAAATGTATTAATTTTATTGAATCAGTGGCTGATATTAATAATGTAAATGATAGTTATCTGAGCTGTGAGCCTTTAATGATAAATATTAAAATTAATGGGGTTTTATTAAATTTTGAAATAGTTAGTGGCGCATCTGTTACTATTATTCTAAAAAAAGTGTTTATGCGAAAGTTAATAAATAAAATATATCTGGAGTCGAAATCGATATATTTTAATTCTGTTAATAATACTGAAATAGAAGTATTAAGTCAATCCTTAGTTAATGTAGAGTTGGCAGGTAAAATGATAAAGCTCAATTTGATTGTGACTAATGATGGTGTTAGTAAGTGTTTATTGGGTAGGAATTTATTAAATAACTTTCTCTTGATTGAAGGAAAATGTTCATTAATGTAAAGAGTGAGGTAAATCAAGGAGAAAATCAGTTACTTATAAGCAGAATAGAGGATAAAAATAAAATTATTTATGAAATTAAAATAAATTTTCCATATGTCATTCCTAGTAATAATAATATGGATGATAGTATTATTGGGTATGAAGTAAATTTAACTTTAATAGATAACTGTGTTCCAAGATTTCATAGAGCATATCAATTACCATGTGCACTAGATCAAAAGTAGAATATGAATTAAGCCGTTTAGAACGCAAAAATATAATTTCTAAAGTGGTAAGTAAAATAATGGTAAGAATTTGTGTTTTAAGGTTACTGTAAATCCAGCATTAAAAGTTGGCCAACACCCACTTCCTTGAGTTGATGAAGTATTTAATGAGTTATGTAATTGTAAAGTGTTTACTGTGGTGGATCTATCTGATGCTTATTTGTGGCTAAAAGTTGCACTTGGTAATCGCGCGATGCTAACGATCAACATACATAAAGGTCTATATTAATATAATAGGTTATGCTATGGTATTGCGTCAGCACCGGATAAATTTCAAGAAACAATGAAAATTCATTGTTAGATATTTCTACTGTAAAAGTATATTTGGACGATATTATTAACAGAGGTAATAACGAACAAAATTGTCGTGAAACGGTAAACAAAGTATTTCAGCGGTCAAATACACATAGAGTAAAAGTTAATTTTAGTAAATGTCAATGGTATTGTAGTAGTATGGAATTTTTAGGTCATATTATAGACAGAGATACCCAGGTAAAAATAAATTAGATGCAATAATGAACGCACCTTAACCTAGTGATATAGCGCAATTAAAGTCCTTTTTAGGGTTAATAAATTATTATAATAAGTTCATTCCAATGTCCTCAACTTTGCTAGCTCCGTTATATGAATTAACAAAAATTAATACTAGTAGGTAATAGTCTACAGAATGTGAAGAAGCATTTTGACAGGCTAAAGTAGCTTTATGTAATAGTCAGTTTTTAGTTCTATTTAACCCAAAGTTTCCCTTAGTTTTTACCACCGATAGTAGTATTTATGGAGTTGGTGCAGTAATTAGTCACATAATCGATAATGAGGAGAAACCAATAGCGTTTGCGTCGAGCACGCTATCAAAAAGTTAAAAAAAATTTTCATAAATTGAACGTGAAGCGCTAGTAATAATTTTAGGCATTAAAGTTTCATAAATATTTGTTTCGTTTAGATTTTATTTTGATAACTGATCATCAACCATTAAAAACAATTTTTAATCCTTTAAAAAATATTCCGATAGTATCAACGTCATGGTTACAACGATGGGCAATAATTTTATCTAATTATCGATAAATAATAAAATATAAAAAAGGTACACAGATCAGTCACGTGGATGCGTTATCCAGGTTACCAGTATCAGATGAAATTGAAGTGAAATCCGAAAATTTATCTTTTTTGGAAGAAATGCTACTATTGTATAAAAAAGTTGGCGAAGAAACAAAAAGAGATGAGGTATTAAAAAAAGTATGTAATTATAATATTTCAGGTTGGTCAGTAAAAATAAAAGACCAAGTACTTCTACCATATTTTTGTCGACGGTGCGAGTTATCGACAATATCTAGGAGCATTCAACTGCATGTGTTAACTGCATACTACGAGAGGGTCATTCCGGTATAGTAAGCGCGAAAATGTTGGCTAGGTCACATGTGTGATGGGATACATTATGTAATGATGTAGAAAATTTTAGTAAAGAGTGTAGTGAATGTCAAATAAATCAAAACGGATAAAGCTAAAAATGATAAGGTATATGTTAGTTAGGCAAATAATTGACTTGGGAATATCGATATCTTTGAAATTTATAAAGTTAAATAGTGTTATTAGTTGATTATTATAGTTAATGGATTGAATGTTGGTTTATTAATCTTACAAATGCTAGTAAAGTAATTGAACTTTTAAATAGTTGTTTTCGTCGATTTGGGTATTGCAAAAACGATGATTTGCGATAATGGTCCTCCTTTTAGCTCAACTAAATTTCAGTTGAAATTATTTGAAATTTTATATTATTCATGCAATTCTCCATTGCAAAAACCTCCATACAATTCTGAATAAAATGGGTTAATACTTTTTCAACTTAACTTTTGAAATGTTCCAGTAATACTACGTCTTTTAAATATATGTTAAATTAAAGCTTATGTAACGTACTATAAGTTAAAAAAAAATTGTCCTGACGGCCTATCTTCTATGTGCAAATGGCAATCGAAGTTAAACAAAATATAGGATTTAATTCTGCTTTTGAACAATCCACCAATTTCTTAAAATTAAACACTATCTACAAATCTGCATCGAAGCATTTTTTATGATAGTGATTTTAATCACTGTCAGTTATCATCTATACTTGTCCCAACTATGCCATGCTCAAACTGTGCCGCGACCCCACTGTGCTACTATTTTTTTTTTATTTATATTTGTGAGATACACAATGAAAAGCATATCACGACAAATGATAACGTGACACCATCACATACTTTTAAAATGCATATGGTTCATCGGATTAATAAGTTCTAAGAACAAAATTGTTTGGAATTTTTTTCTGTCATAACATCAAACTAAAAATGGGGTTCCCGTTTGAGAAAATGAAAGTTTAGGTTTTTCATTCCTTCAGGGATGAATAAAAAATTATTTAACTACATATTATTGTAGTTTCTTCAATCAAACAATATTTTACTTTATTAAAATTAAAAATAATCAGTAGTTTTTGAACAAATGTACGTCTCATCTTTAATCGAACACTCTATATATTGTGTTGAAATCTTGTAATAAACATTACTAAAATTAATAATAATGGAAAAATAAATGTTAAACACTAAATCTTAAGTTGTTTGTACATATCTTTCTATTTTATTCTATTTTAAACCAGAATTGAGTAGTTTTAGAGGTTCGTTTATTATTTAGAAATTTTGGTAAAAATCAAGAATCGGAAACTATCCGACATCTGTCTAAATATTGTCTCTATCTCCTTAAATTAGTTTTGTGCGACGCAAAATACTCGGACGACCACTCGCAGAGTTAAATCTCGTCTCTGCTGGTTAATAAATTAAATATTAAAAAAAAAAAACAAATAAATTAAAATTTAAATAAAAATGCTGTGAATTGTATTTTGTTTTCTGTTGCTATTAGCTAATGCAATAACAATAATAATTTATAGCTTAATCTATGTTAGTAATTAAAACATTGTTGTAAAATATAGCATAAAATGTTACACAAATTATTCTTAACAGCTAAAATTGTACATAAAAAGTTTAGTCTAACCTGGCGCTCTTTAGTTCCATATTGAAAGTGTTTCAGTGCGTCAACCGCATAAATTGTAAATATAATAATAAATGATACCAAACAGTGATCAATCTTTAGTCCATGATGTGTTATATTTTAGGCCGACACAAAAAAATTATAGACACTATGATTCCTTAGTTGAAGGAAGGAAGACTAATATATAGAGTTATGTATGTTAATTTTATTTAACAACTAACAAAAGGTGAATTTAACACATAAAACATCAAAATAAGCAAGGTGAACAGTGATCCGACATCAACTGCCGCACAGCACACAAGACACACGAATACACGAGTGACGTCATTCGCGACCACCGTATATATACTACCCCAACAGTAAAACCAGTTATGGCAGGTCACGCTTTTGACAAGGAAAAGAAAACTAGCACTCACCGCATCAACTTGCTTTGACACGACCAAACAAGTTTTAATTAACTGATTGAGACACAGGCAATCGTTTACCTTAGTTACTAGTGAGATATTATATAATAGAGTAAAACTATTGTTTTATGTTAACGACAAAGTAAAATTATATTTTAAATGTTCAGTAAATATAAGTTATATACAATGTACAATACGTCTAACCTGAATCCTAAAAAATTGGTTAGTTGGTATATCGCAGTGAGACGGATTTTGTTGGCTATAATGACAATTAGCGACAGATAAGTTGTTGAATAAATTAAGTTATTGACATAATTAAAATGACAAAAGTGTTGGTACGAAAACTATATCTATAACAGCCACTTAAACATAATTGCCCTTTGATTTTTCGACGTCAGTAACTCCGGTATTCAAACGAGTAGAATTATCATATCAGCATCTCCTAGTATGATAACTAACATGTATTATGATTTAAATAAATAAAAATATATCGTGTATAATATAAGTTATAAGAACATAGTAATAAATTTCCTTACAATAGAATATGAAGATACTAAGTATTTAAATTGTTTATAAAGTTATATTTCTCATCTTAAAATATTGTTGTATGCATATAAAATATTTTTGATAGTCTTAAATAAACGAGTTTATAATTAATAAGAACTGTTGATTTGTTTTTTTTCAATAAGTATTTTCTAGTTATACATATAGCTAAAATTAAAATATTTTAACTAATAACTATAAGTTCCATGCAGCAGTAAAGTTTTTGAATATTCTTATTCCTAGTTAATTCAGTGCGGTTTTCTTATTTTACAAATGTACATTTAATTAAAAATATTATTATTGATTTGATTGTAAATATGTTCACTGCATATTAACGAACACGTATTTAGAATACATTAAGGATTTATTAATTTATTTATTTTTATAATAATATTTTAAATACAATAGGAATGTTTACAATGACTAGACATACAAAATAAATATACATTTATAAAAGTTACACTTTTTTTTTAGAAATAATCTTTCAGTTATTCAGTATATTACATCTATAGTACAAATCTTGGTTTAAATAAGATCTCCCTCGTTAAATTAGCGTAAGAAACATCAATGAGAAATTATTACAAAAATTATATTACAGGTATGTTTCAATAGTAAAAAAAAATAATAATAATAATAAGTTATAATCATAGGAAAGAAGATTTTTTTTGAAAAATATCTCCAACAATAGTAAAAAAAGCATCTTGATAAAATAATAAAAAAATGATTATTTTTTCAAAATAAGTAATCATTAAAGAATCTCTTTCATTAATTTTCTCTTTTAAGTTGACTAAAATTAAACAAAATTCAGTTAAATGTTATATAATCGTTATAAGAAAAAATACAAGTAATACGTAATTATATTATTAGACTACTTCATATGTTCTTGATTAATTTAATTTTTTTCGAATAATGATTTTATCTGGAATATTTAGGCATTTGTTATCGATGTGGAAACGAAATTCAATTGAGTCTGTGCATCTTCAGTTACGAGTAACTTGGGTTGGTTTTGTGATGAAACTGTTGTAACTCTTAAACACGGATTCCAGGAATAGTTTTTGTTGACCTTCGAGTGTTTCCATCTTTTTTTAATTTCAGATAATACCTTACAAGGAGAAAATTGTATCAAAATAACACAAGATTGTCAATTATTTTCATATAGCATAAAAAAAAATTTTCTCACTTCTCCATTACAGAAGCAAAATAATAGCGCGACACATAAACCTTGAAAGGAAACAACTACTGCAGAGGTAATTTGGTACAAAGGCTCCCAAGAAGTACCGGCCTCAGGTCGAAATGGCATGAGCATATATTGAAGACCCAATAAAGGTATAAGTATGAGGGTAGCTCGAACAGCTTTGCCTGTCCTGCCGGATGATGTTTGAGTTTTTTCACAACTGTCAATACTTTCATTGTTTCTTTTGAAACTAAATTGTGATAATTTCAAACATTAAATTTTTAGTACAAAAAAAAACAAGAAGACATATATTATTTAATAATGAAATACTCACCTTCGAAGATTAANGTGATAATTTAAAACATTAAATTTTTAGTACAAAAAAAAAACAAGAAGACATATATTATTTAATAATGAAATACTCACCTTCGAAGATTAAAAGATTGAATGCGTTCCCTGGCAGTTATTTGTTTTGGACTGGTCATGGTAATTTGTCTAGCATGCAGCTTTATCAATAAAAGTCTAACAATGTTTATCAAAAAAACAAAGTTGGTCAACACAGATAAACATACCGGTCCTGATAATATCCACAAATATACTGATTCATGTATCCAACAGCTAAAATTCCAAAATTGATTTGTTAGTTGACTAATTTAATAAAATATATTCTCGTATAATATTATATAATATTAAACATATCATTAAAAATATTTATTATATAACCATAATAATTATGGATTCAATTCAATAACTTTTTCAACTCAAATTTTTAAATACATTTTTATATCGAATATCGTAATGAAAGTAATAAAATTATATACAACGAATACACGATTTGTCTACTCTGTGAGCACAATAACTTAATTATAACTTTATTATAGCTGACGCAGAAATTCCACGTTAATGTATAATTTTGCAGCAGAATTGTATATGATGATTATTTTATCAAGATCTATTAAAAGTTACTAAAATTTTCATGCCTAGGTAGGAGGAGTGAGAAGAAAAATATACTGTAATAAAAATAGCATCATCTACAATTAATTAAATTACATGTAAATAATTAAAATTATTAATAACTTCTGAAATACTGAAAAAAAGAAAAACATCTTTGCCACGAACTATAATGCTCCGACATTTCATCAATTAGCTATTTCTATGACTATTTGGAACTTCGATTATCTAATATCAAAGGTTACTAGATAATACTCCAACATTTTAAATTCCACCCTATCGTGGTCTTTTTTTTTTTAATGTTATAGTATCACAAAAGTATACCGTAACCAGATATTCATAAGAATTACACCTTTCATAACATTGATAAAGAAAAAACTTATCCTTTAGAGATAAGAAACTTAATTCAACTTTAAAGAAGTTCAAAAATGGCATCAAACAAAAAATTCAGTGGACAAAACAAATGGAATTGACTTAAAAAAATCCTAAAAGAAAAAATTTACTCAATAAAAAATGAAACTTTTAAAAAATATATAAATAATTTATCTGCAACAGATAACACAGATTACTCTTTATGAAAAGCAACAGGCGTATGAAAAGACCTGAAGATACATGAGATCGAAGTAAACAGGAAATACCTGAAGTATTCGCGCATCACTTGGGGTGTGTATTTCAGCCTAACAACATAAAATATGATTTGAACACGACGTATTTACGTACTTCAAATCAAACCATAGATCGCATTAAATATTTCACTCCACTTGGAGTTGCGAATGAAATAGATAAAACTTTTACCTCTAAATAGTCCCCGGTTTATGATAGAATAAGCAATGTATAATTAAAGAAGTATATCTCAAAGCAATAATCATACTAACTCACATATTTAATGCTTTGTAGCGTTGGTACCATATTACCTACTTCTATCCCCGTGATAACAACATTTAGAAAAAGTAGGTTATGTTATCTTATATTGTTATATGTATCTTATCATGTTCTTATTCCTTTTTGACTTTTATAATAAATGCAGATATATTTAACAAATATTTTATGGTGTCTTTTAGTTTTTAATAAAAATAATTAATATAGGCCACACAGTTGATTGCATATAGTATATGTACCTGAAAATTGAAAAAAAAAACACAAGTCATCGTGTTATTAAATCCAGGAAAGCTCCACGAGAGTATTAGTCCCTACAAGTCGATATCACTTCTTTCTACTATTTCAAAACTCTTTGGGAAATTACTCTACATTAGTTTTAAACATATTATTCAAGAAAGTCAACTAATTCTTAACCACCAGTTTGGTTTCATACTAAACATTTCACCATAGATCAAGTATATCACGTTATAAACGTAATTAGTAGAGCTATGGAAGAAAAAAAGTATTTCTTCAGCGTCTTTCTTGACATTGCCGGGGCTTTTGAAAAAACAGTTGCCTCGTTCATGGTATGAACTACTGCAATCATATTTAGAAAAAAGGTAATTTCGGGGGAGCTACGAAGAAACTATATCTGAATGGAAAGATATTAAAGCAGAGGTAACTCAAAGTAGTGTCTTTGGGCCTATTTTTAATTAACTTTTTATATCCAATATTCCAACCAACAATAAAACAACAACAGCTGTTGTTACAGCTTACAACACAGCTAAATTGTCATGTAATTAAAACCTTTCAATCGTCACAAAAATTTAAAAAAAAATGTTGATAAATCCTATCATGGACAAAAAGATGAACAATATTATTAAATAATTCAAAATCAATACATATGAACTTTATAACTTAAGTAACGAAGCATAACTCGATAATGCTTGATGGTAAAATAATTCCACAAGAAAAGTCAGCTAAATATCTAGACATACATTTAGACTCTAAACTAAACTGGAGTATATAAATTAAATTGGTCCGTGATCACAACAAAGAATAGAAAATAAAAAGCTACTTTATGTAGTTATCTTAAAACCAATATAGACATCTAATATCCAATTATGGAGCTGCACTAGTAAATCTTGGATTGATAAAATTCAAACTGTACAAAATATTACTCTCTGTACTATTATCGACGCGTACATGTTCGAAAAAAAGACCACGTTCACAAGAACATGATGATACCAATCGTCAGGGAAAAAATTCAACGGTATGTCTTGGCACGTAAAAGTCGTCTGAAGGTCCACGTAACATAGCGGCGGTACAACTTCTTGATAATTCTCAAGAAGATTGAAACCGGCTAAACCATATAACTTATTGTAAATATAAATTAATCAATGTAAATTTTACTAGAATATATGTTTGAAGAATCTTCACTGAAAGTTTCCTACATCATTATTAATAATATCTCAATTATACAGTTTATGTAATTTTAGATGTTAACGTTAGTGAATAATTTTAATTAAAACCACAAGGTCGTTTCATATAAATAATACTTGTAAAAAAAAAAGCTATTCATAGCATATTTTATAATATGTGAAAGTCGAAGTATTATCATTTGAAAAATTTTAATTAACATCCTTATAAGTAGGACCAAGATTTAAACGCATTTATATATTTTGTTTGAGTCCCTTTGAAGGATCCCAAGTTTGTTTTATTTTGTAATGGGATTATATTGTAATGTACAAATATTTTTCATTTTAGAAAGGAATAAGCCTCCTAATACCACTTAAACTATGACCTCGGTAACAACTTATTAGCAAATTTTCAACTCAATTAATTCAAATTAATACTGACTGATGGTATGTTTGAAATAATTCAACAAAATTTATAAATGCAATTGAAATCCATGTCACACATAAAAGATACAAGGGATGATTATAAAAAATACTTCATAATTGATAAATTGAAAAAAAAATGAAGCTGAAATTAAATAAATAAAACTTTCTAAAATCTGAAGTTGTTCGAGTTTATTTACGGGAAATGCATTAAGGAAAAAATTGAAAAAGATAATTAATAACTACAAAAATTTGTAGAAATCATAAAAAATTATGAAAAGAAAATACCCAAGTACTTAAAAAAAAAAATATCAATTCCATATCTTTAGGGAGTTATGTCTTATTTAGTAAATATTTTATAATTTTAGTCAGTGATTATTTGATATATGAGTACTTACGGAAAAAAATTATCACACTTTAATAAAAATTATTTTATCAGTACAATACATTTTTTACATCCCTTTTTGTTTTTACTTTAAGACGGCCCAGATAATATTTCATTTTTTAATTAATACATTGTTGATTGAAATTTAATGTTACATACTTATAAGTTTATATTTAAATTAATTATTTAGCATAACTTTACATGAATAACAGTAATAATAGCTTAAGTTTTAAAATTATAAAATAATTAAGATCATAATTATCATATTAACTAAATTTTTATACGTAAATTATTTTTCCTAAAATTTACATATGCAGGGCGATTGGTAAAGATAAAAAACTTATTTAGTCAGAAACTATTGAATCTTTTCAGTTTTTATAAAGGAAAATATTGTTTGATTTATGAAAACTACAATAAAATGTAGTTAAACAATTTTCTTTTATTTCTATAGAGTTAAAAAAACTAATTTTATTTTACAGGAAGTTCTATTTTTTGTTAAATGATAAGGAAAAAAAATTCCAAACAATTTAATTTCCAAGAAAATGAGGTCTTATCTTTAATCGCTCACCATGTATTTATGATATTTATTTTTACATAATATGTTAATATTAAAATGTTATTTGTATTGCTCATTATGAATAAATTATATTTATATTTGAATACACTTATGGAAAATCTTGGAAATAATTTTGGTTACTATAGGGTCTAAAATATGTTTAATGTACAATTCTAAATATTATAATATGTGTTGAATTTATCTTTTTTCTGGTGTATAAGAAATATATTTTTATTTGCTTATAATATGTAATTAGTGCTAACTTCATATACGATATATGTATTTAATGAACAAACTTAGCAGTAATAATTACATTGTACACAGTTTATTATACTAAACTTTTATTTTATGTTGATAAATTATTGTATAAATAACTTTAAAATTTGATTACACCCTAAATATGATAATGAAAATATAAATTATTATATTTTTGCTTTTAGAAGTATGTTTTATTTATTATTAATAAATATACATTAAATTTACATGAGTAATCCGCTTCCGAAAATACCTTTAACTTTCAAGACCGCAATGAGAAATATTCAAAATTAATAAAGTTTATCCGAGCTAAGAGTATACAATGTATACTCTTAACTCTTTAATGTGCTATTCTACAGTATATTCTATACTATACATATGCATATATATTCAAAAAGGTAGAATACATATGATGTTTTATATATAATGAAAAAAATCATCAAGCCACGACAAAATTATAATTGAATACTAATCGCCAACATTTATTGTATACACATTTTAAAAAATAACAGTATACTATGTAAATATTTAAACAGCTATTTCACTACAATTTGTCCATACTCTGAATGTTTAACTTATTCGAAATTTGCCATATTTTTAAATAAAACTTCTATAAATAAAAATGATTTTCATTATTTCTCAAAATTATACTTCTATTTAATTTTTGTTTGTAGAAGTGTCTTTTTTTAATACAATTAATGATGGAATTTTCGTAGGAAATTAAAAAACAAACTAAAATTTCTAAATAATTAATTGAGTATATTGCGTTATTCTTATTTTACTTATATTGCACTGTGAGTTCATGAGTGCCGTAACTCTAAAAAACTGATTTTAAGATAAATGGTCTCTAAGTTTTGACCTTCCATAAGAGTAACAATGTATATTATTTTGTTTTGGGTGTTTAAATTAAGTTCAAATCAAATTTTATTCAAGTTACTTGCATATTTAGATAGAGAATAATAAACTATTATAAATTACATCAAAATGTCAAATTCTATGAACTTTGATATACAGGGTGATTTTTTTATCATAACCCACTCAATTACTTGCAGAATAATAATAATTTAAACATTTTTTTTTTTTATGATCTTTAGTTACACATTATTCTTGAATTTTTGACTATGTAATACTTTTTAAGTTCAGCCCTTATGCCTTGGAAGGGAGTCAACTTTGTTTTTTTAAATGGTAACACATATTTTTAATTTAATAAAATGTTTGAGTTTTTAATTTAATAGTAAATGGCATTTGAATTTTTAATATAACTTAATTCGTTTATTAGATATAATCATTTAAAGTTTCAAATTTTTGAATTAATATACAGGTATAATACACAAGGGATTACAAATACAGGTAGCTAATTGGTTTTTTATAACATCGATATTAGCAGGTACACAGCGTTGTTATTATCAATTGTAGTAAGACACATTGTTATGAGTATATAAATACACTAACTGACAATACAGAAAATATATCTATTGATAATCATAATTGATAATAAACAATCCGTGACTGAGACAGCAATGTCATAAAAATCCAATTAGCTACCTGTATTTACAATCCCATGTGTATTATACATGTATATTAACTCAAAATTTTGAAACTTTAAATGTTTATATCTAATAAGCTAATAAAGTTATATTAAAAATTCAAATGCCATTTACCATTAAATTAAAAACTCAAACATTTTATTAAATTAAAAATATGTGTTACCATTTAAAAAATCAAAGTTGACCCCCTTCTAAGGCATAAGGGATGAACTTAAAAAGTATTACATAGTTAAAAATTCAAGAATAATGTGTAACTAAAGATAATAAAACAATAAAAGGTTTAAATTATTATTATTCTGCGAGTTATTGAGTGGGTTATGATAAAAAAATCACCCTGTATGATCTTCTAGCCTTATAGCGCGTTATATTTTTGAATCAGAAAAAAATTAAATTTTACTTCAATTAACCATTTATTTTATGATGGACATTAATTATGATTAAATTGGAATGAGCTACATCTAAAGGGAATCGTTATAAAAGTTTTTAGATTAAACAATGAACCAACTAAAGAACTCTACGATACTTTATATCAATCATTGATCATTGATCAATCATACAATGATGATATGAAGAGATAAGTTTCTAGTAATTTATTGGTGTCGAAGAAATAGTCTAAAAATAATCAAAGTCCACAAACTTAAAAATTAGGTATCACTAAATTTTCATATCAATTGTGATTTACTTTTACTAGTTAGGTAATAAAATATAGGAGGTTTGTATATTAAACAAAATATTATTGACTTATCGACCATATAAACATTTAAATTAATATTAATATGTCATAAGAATTACTTAAATAATAATCTTCATTTTAAAATTATTTATTAACCTTATATAATTCTTAGATTAATTCATGCAAAAGATTTTTGAAATTATCTTTTTCTTAATTTTTAGGTGATTATTGTTAAATTGTTCATTATTTCACCAGTGCATCACCAATCATATTAGTTTATATGAAAGATCTTAAGTTAAATTAAAAATACTTTTTGTACGATTTTTACGTAAAATACTTATTTCTATGACATAAAACTGTCAATTTGTGTGATCCTCCCCTTTTTAGTTTTTTTTCAATGTTTGATTTTTTATAAAATTCATTGCTTTAGGTTTTGCTTTAAACGTACTAACTGTAAAGTTTCGCCTGGAGTATTAGTGCGAACGATTACGTATATGGTTACTAATAGAGCCGGTATGCCCCAACCAACAATATGTAGTAAAGGCATAACCTTGGTCTCTGTTAGAAATGTGACAACCAAAAGAGTGTGTAAGTATAGTCCTTCACAAAACATCCAGAAATATGTAGCAACCAAAAAGTAATGTACTAAAACATGTAACACTTTACAGCCCAACTGAAAAAAAAAATAATTATCATTAATACTGCTTCATTGTATTTTAATAAATATGAGAATATAAAATAAAATATTTTTTCTCAAGTAAAATGACATCTAAAGGTTTTTCAAATAAATTTTTTAATTAAAATTGTTTTACACCAAAAAAAGTATCCAAGTTTGTATTCTTGTAGAAGTATAAAAATTAATTTATTTAAATCATGAAATTGGACGTGATTTATTAATTGTTGGTATTGTTTACGGGTGTTTTTATTACAGATGTTTTGCAATACTGGCTTTAGATTTGATTTTATTTAAGCTATTTTACACCTTCGGTTATAAGGTTAACTTGGGTTAAGTAACATTAAGTTACTACCTCAAATAAACAAAATTTAGTGTAATTAAGAAGACGATTTTTTAAATATTTCCCAAAGACGAAATCAATAACATGGTGTAATTACATTTTTTTATAGAATAATGAAAATTTTCTTATGTTCTCCCCAAAAATGAAATGAAAATTTATTTTCCTTGTAAAAGTAGAGGCATGTGTATGGAAATTCAGAACGGAGACAGCGAAGATTTGTTTTGTTCCATATTTCATGGATTTGCAATACATAAACTTAAAAAAAACATTTTCTAAACTTTGAACAGAAATTTTATGTTATGCAATTTGATCATTTTCCTTGAAACTAAAGAAATTGACATTGTCTCAAAGTATTAACTGTCGATAATTTAATTCAATAAAGCTGTATAGTCAAGGACCACAAAATTACTCTTTGCACTTAATGTATGTACGCATATGCATATAAATTTAGACATGTATAAACTATTAATATCGCACCAACATGACAGATAATTTAGTTAAACTTATTTATAGTCTCTTTATTTTATGTTAAATATAATATTTTTATCAATAAAATAAAATGAAAATTATAAATTATCAGTTGATAATTATATAATATATATTTTCTATATTATTGTATAGGAAATTACTAAGTTACGTAATGTATAAGGTACAATATTTCCAAAAATGATAAGTATTGAATGTAAAATATAATAAAAAATTAAAATGTACAATGTATATTTTAACTAATAATAAATTATGTCATAATTTTTTTTATGTAGGATTTTACGTTGTCTATTAATTGATATCATCTTAACTTATAAAATGCCAACACTATTGGAAGTTTAAAAATGAGAAAAAATGTTATTTTAATAATAATTTTAGTTTTTCTTATTATAACTCGACGTATAATTCAACTTCATTACCCGATGAATTTAAATAACTTTTTATGAAACACTTAATTTATAATTATTATTTTTAATTTGAATTATCAACAAAATAAGTTTATCATCTTACCCCGTTTGTCATCAATACTGGTAGATTATCAACTACTGCTTCATACCACAATAACCATAAAAAATTATTTACTGCCAAAGAAATGAATAAATTTTTGTGAATTTGTATTCTGGTACAAGTTAGACATCTAAAAATACAGTAATACTAAATTATAATATGTATTTTTTTAATGTTAAATAAAGAAGACAATTTTAAAACTGATTGCAGCTTTTGTAATTTTTTTTTATTAAAAAATTACATAATATATAATTCCATTATTTTAATTTAGTAAAATTTATTAATGGTTAAGAAAACTTCACTTAGAGAGGTTATTATGGGTATGGAAAAACAAAAAGAGACCTTTACCAGGGCATAATTCCTTTAACCTTTATGGTCATTACTCTTACATATTAGCTTTGCATAATAAGTGCATACACGTTTTCAACTAAATTATCATGAAAAATGTAAACGAACAATTTCTCACTGAAATAGTGAAAGAATAGAAAAAATAGTTTACAAAATGTAGAAACATTTATACTATAAAACTATAAGTAAAAAAGTCGAAATATTTAGACATATTTTTTTTTATAATTTATAATTTATTGTGTATTATAAAAATAGTCCATCGCGAATGCTCTGGGTCCTAACACTGACTTTACGATTTAATTATTATTTTTATTTTAAACTATAATAACTTACTTGAAATAAAAGAATATGAAAAGAGAAACCAGTAAAGCTGCTAACGAGACGGCGTATCCCCATTTGTAAATCATGTTTACGTGATTTCTCAGCTATAAAGAAATAGTTTATACATTTATTAAATAAATGATTTATTAAATATAATATTGATTATGATTTATTTATTTATTTATTAAATAATTACAAATGTGTAATGAAATATTATTATATTTAATATTGATAGAGTAAAGTATGAATTATATTGGAAAATTCAAAGACACTTAAAATATTATTTATGATAATTTGAATTTAATTATACAAAAGTTTGATTTTTCTTTTGAAATTTTTGAATGATTATAATGATAATAATTTTCGAGATTGTAGTATAAATTAATTATAAATAAATAGTAAAAAGAGTATTTTTATGCTTAATTAACTTTTTTTAACTTATAAAATTTAAGAGGTTAGCATCCTCAAAAATAAGTAAAATTATACACTTAAAATTACGAGCTTAGGTAGTACAAGGTTAGAATATATTACTACGCAGTTTGCCTAAGTTTATTCAATATAAAATTTGGTGTTCAATTAATTTTGCTTGAATAAAATAAGCTATAATATTCGTGCATCATGAAATTTACTATAAGACTTAAGCCATGTTTAGGCAGTTTTACAAAAATAAAGAACTTAAACTATACAAATATTATTCTGTAACATTTAAAATTTCGCCTTAAATTTTAGAAAGTTAAACAACTTTTTTATACTTTAAAGGCCCAATAAAGATCATAATAATTTCCTTTACAATGGAAGGTTTTTAGCCTTTTTAGTACATTCAGTACTAAAAGAAATTTTTTGTACCGATTACTTACTTTCAAATCATCCAAGTCTACACAAGTTGTATAATTAGACCACGATTTATTAGTTTCCGGATGTTTGAACCAACTTCCATCTTTTAAACACATTTTTTGTCCAAACCCTAAATTAATAGTGTTAAAATTTTAATATATGTATAATGTACTTGTATAGTTTAAATGCGCTTAAAAAGCAAGGCGTGCTAGAGACATTTAACCAAAAATTAAACTACATTAGCAGACTGAATACTAGTAGTTTTATTTAGCAAATCACATTACAATCATGAAAGATGTAGTTCTATACATGGTATATATTGAAATTAAAACTTTAAATTTGATTTTCTTGAAATTGAAAAATGTTACTTATATTTTTACATTCTAAGCACCTCATATTGCTTGTCTAAAAGAGTTCAAGTCAATTTATAATTGTTCACTTTGTTTTATTATAATATATGTGTCACAAGTTAAGCATGTTAATTTTGTACAAAGAATTATTTTAAATGTCATTGTCCAATTTATAAATTTAAATTTATATATTATATATATATATATATATATATATAAATTTAATAAGATAAATTTACAGGTCATAGTATAAGCTTAAATGAGACTAGTAGCGAAAAAAATACTCAAGAGGTCTCCATTCACAATATTTTTTTAGTGTTTCGCGTATCATATGGATTTTATAGACGATTCCATGGAGAGAGATAGATATTTAAGACAGAAGACTCCCTTTGAAGTTTCTAATTTGAAGCGTAATAAAAGAGTCCCTTTCTCAGAAAAAAAAATGTTTCATTATTTTATATTTAAAAATACTCATAATAAAAGGGATAAGCAAAAATTAAAAAAAATTGCACTCCTTCAAATAATATTTTTTCATAAAACAAGTAGGATGATTCCCTAATTATATTTCGCATATCAGAATAAAATAACAATGCAATAAAAATTAAGCAGATGGTACAGCATACACTATACGAAAAAAAGTCAATTTTTAAAGTCTATTTTTTCATTTGATCATAACTTATTAGTAATTGAGCCTACCAGAAGTCATCTTCAAATTTTTCTAACAGAAGACGCTTTTAGAAGTTGGGTCACTTGAGTCGTTCCCCACTTTAAGCCCTGGGGGTCTATTTGTGAGCTTGGACTAATCATTGGCGAGTGTTTTAGTACACTAAAACATTAGATTATGATTTTATTGCACTAATGGAAATTCGTATTTTTAAATTTTATTTTTTATCATTCTAAAAATCTTGCACTAATCGTACATCGTCTAATCTAATGTCATTTCAAACCAATAATTCTTAGTACGATATGTTAAATTATATTGGCTGTACTGTATTTTATATTAATTTTATCATTAATTCAATTTATCATTAATTTTATCAAGTATATGATTGCAAATTTACCCATTAAAAATTTATTGCTGTTTATTTGTTAATATTTTTTATTTCATTTTTCGTGTCATTTTTTATAATGGAAGCTAATAAAGGTCAATTTTTAATTGATTTTGTTCATAAGTACCTAAATGAAAAACAAAAAATGTGGATTATCTTTTACTACGCAAGAATTGTTATGACAAAATATAACAAAAATTTGAAATCAAACTATTGGGGCAAAAAAAATTTTTTTGGAAAATCCATTTTAAGGTAGATATTTTTCAAAATTTTTAAAATTGAAGGGTCTTTTCCAATTTTTTATTTATGACAATATATTCAACTAACCAGGATCTATTGATTATTAAAATCTGTCCAGCTAAAGCTGAGAATTTTTATGGATAGGTATAAAAAACAAATGCACACTATCACAAACCTTTTTATTTTTTTATTTGTTTAATCCAGGGTTAGGGCCTAATTTTGATGATAAGTTGGGTTAGATGATTTAAAATTGCACTGTCGGTTTATGAATGACCTTCTTCAGAAAGACATAATAATCAAAAAAGACTACTCACAAAAAATATCAATTAAGTAGAATTAAACTCAATTAATATCACTAAATTAGAGCAGGCTGAAACTCTCCCCATGAATATCAAATTTGAGCATATTAACCGATCTTTCGTATTAAAGAAAAAAACATTACCGAGGTTTTCTACAAACAACTCCTTTACTCAATATTAAATAATGATAAAAAAAAAATACTTCTACACTAAAAGAATTAAATAATGTAGGTATAGGAATAATAAGAGAAACACAAAGGTGGTTGTACAAATTGAACATTATATATATATATATATATATATACAGCTGAAGTAGTTACCATATACCAAACCTTGTACATGACAAAAAAGCAAAATAAAAAAACCCAGCACAGGGGGTTCGCGGAACAGTGGTGACGTGGTATAGATGGATCAAGTATAATGATATCTGACAGATATCTTAAAANTGGATCAAGTATAATGATATCTGACAGTGATTAAAATCACTATCAAAAAAAAACGCTTCGATGCAAATCTTTAGATAGTGTTTAATTTTAAAAAATTGGTGGATTATTCCAAAAGCTACATAATCTGCTAGTTCATTATTAATATCCTAATTAAGATAAAGTATGTTGAATGAAAAAAAGATTATTAAAAAATATTATTTATCATAAAAAAATAATGTTGATCCATACACTTTTCAATATGTCATAGCATAATAAAGTTAAAAATGTAAAATACAAAATCGAAAGTTTTCACACAAAAATAGTATTCGGTAGCCATTTTCACCGTGAAGATAAAATAAAGTCCGAAAATTTTTTTTTGCATAATAAAGAACAGTACATAAGCTTTAATTTAAGATATATATAAAAGTGTCAGACCTTCCGGAACATTTTCAAAATTTAAGTTGAAAAAGTAAATTTTTTGTGAAAAAGTTGTCATTTTAAATCCCCCCCTGTGGGCAGGTAAAGGGTCAGATATAAAAAAAATATATACCAAATGATAGGTAAAGACATCATGCATCTATAAAAAAAAATTATATTGATCCATACATCTTTCAAAAAGTTATAGCATTATAAAGTTAAAAATATAAAAAAGAATTTTTTTACAAAAATCGTATTTTTTTTATAAACTTTGATGTCTGTTTTCACCATGAAGATAAAATAAAGTCCGAAATTTTTTTTTACCATAATAAAGTATATTACATTAGCTTTAATTTAAGATATATATAAAAGTGTCAGACCTTCCGGAACACTTTCAAAAGTTACGTTGAAAAAGTTCTACTTTCTATATGCATTTTTATGTTTTGAATCCCCCCTGTATTTAGGGAAATGGTCCGATTTAAAAAAACAGTATGTCGAATGAAAGATCTATATAAATACTACTTCTCATAAAAAAATTGTAATGATTCATACATTTTTCAAAAAGTTATAGCATTTTAAAGTAAAAAATGTAAATTATAAAATCGAAAATTTTCACACAAAAATAGCATTTGGTAGCCGTTTTCACCATGAAGACTAAATTAAGTACAAATTTTTTTTATTCCATAATAAAGTATAATATTACATTATCTTTAATTTAAAATATATATAAAAGTGTCAGACCTTCCGGAACATTTTCAAAAGTTAAGTTGAAAAAGTTAATTTTTTGTGAAAAAGTTGTCATTTTAAATCCCCCCCTGTGGGCAGGTTAAGTGTCAGATTTACAAAAAAAATATACCAAATGATAAGTAAAGACATCAAGCATCTATATAAAAAAAAATTATATTGATATGTTCATTTTTGAAAAAGTTAGAGCATTATTAAGTTAAAAATATAAAAAAAAATTATTTTACAAAAATCGTAATTTTTTATTAACTTTGATGTCAACTTTCACCACGAAGACAAGTCCAGAGGTCAAATTTTTTTTTTTCAAATTAAAGTATATTACATTAGCTTTAATTTAAGATATATATAAAAGTGTCAGACCTTCCGGAACATTTTCAAAAGTTAAGTTGAAAAAGTTAATTTTTTGTGAAAAAGTTGTCATTTTCAATCCCCCCTTGTGGGCAGGTTAAGGGTTAAATTTATGAAAAAAATATATCAAATAAAAGGTAATGATATTATGCATCTATATAAAAAAGAATTATATTGATATGTTTATTTTTGAATAAGTTATGGCACTTTTAAGTAAAAGAAATTGAAAAAATTTCGAAAATTAGCGATTTTTAAATTCGTAATTTTTTTGGAGGTTTCCCCCATTGACGAAGAACGAGAGAAGTTTTTTTCAATTTTTGAGGGTAATCTTCGACTAGATACAATTCGTGATCTTTTGACGTATCATTGAAAGAAATCGGTTCGGTGAGAGCTGAGAAACAGTGGTAACAGACACAAAAAAAAAAAAAAAACACATCTTAGTAAAACCAATACCTTCTCAGCTTCGCATCGACACTAAAATTTTCAATAATCTTTTCCAAATTACTTTGTGCTGTTTTAGGTATTTAAAACAAATATAACCTTATCAATTTTTCGAGATTAATACAAACAAATTCCACAGGCTTCAAAAGTTAGACTTTCAAATAACACTAATGTAAATACCAGACCATATAAACATTGTAGGTAATGAACTGACAGATAAAGCAGCTAAAGATGATACATTTACAACAACACAAAAATAATTTAAATTAATTTTTATAACGATACAAAAAAAGTGTACATTCCATTTTTTTCAAGAATGGAATTAAATGTAGTTCACTTATAGCACCAAATTGAACGAAATAAAAACATATATATATATCTTTTGACTAATATACGCTGCACTTTTAAAATACAAAAAAGAAATTATCAACCAGCTTAGAATAGCACATACAAGATTAACCCACGGTTACCTTATGGCCAAAAATTCACCACCAATAAGTCACACTTACGGAAACCAGCTAGCAATCAAATATACGTTCACTGGATTTAGAAATAATTCAGATATGCGGCATCAATAAGAGGTCACTTGTCATCAATATTTTATTTTATAAATCATGATAAAACTTAATCTATAATGATTTTTACATGCTAGATGGAATCATTTTATATTTATAACAAGTACTTCTACTGTTTTTTTGTAAAATTACCCATACTGCTCTTGTTCATTTTTAACATTATTGTTATATAATAGCTATTCGAGTGTTTAATTGTATAAAATAGATTTTATTTTAATTAATTTTAACAAATTTTATTTGTATAAAATAAAGATAAAACTGTATTCAATCTGTATACACGATAAATTATGAGATTAATATCTTAAAAATTAATATATTAATACAATTATTTTTATTGTATCCATTGATTAATTCACTAAAATAAAAGAACAATTTCGGCAAAATCAAATATTCGGCGGTAATTATAAAATATTAATGAGTTATAATTACATTTTAGTTGCTTAATAAATTATTTAATAAAGTCATCTTAAATAATTTTTATGCGGTGATGTATATTCCATTAAGTCATCTTAGACTGTAGGCATTAAGCCAAAATTACGTTTTTGTAAAGTATTCTGATATGGTTTTTGACATAAATTCATTTACAAATTGAAATTATTCACCAGTTATTTCAAACATATACTTTTTATTTGGAATACACTTCTCAATTCTATAGAGGGTTTAATATTCAGTGTTCAAATACACTATATATATATATCTGTACACCGTAAAATAGAGAATATGACTTAAAACCATTATTGCTTTAACATTAAGTGCAATATGGATTAAACGTCGCACACTAAAAAGTCATTTTTCCTTTTTTTTTTGCCTCATAATTTATATGCCCTACTTACTTAAAAAATATTAATATCCAACTGAAGCAAACTTATCTAACGAAAATAGAATTATAACTATACAAAAAGTTTGGAAATTTTATTTTATATTAAATATAAAATGTATTTAACATTTAAATTTAAAATAAACAATTTTTAATTTTTGAACATACCTTATTATTTTAAAAATCTAGAGACTTGTTTTATAACATTAATACTCTTTACATGATTTTACTTAAAAATTATATACACAAAAATGGAGCTCAAACTTTCCAGACTAAGGTACCAAAGTTTGTAAAGCTCTTCCATTAATAATTCTAACTAAAGGGTCTATTTCAAACTTTATCTTTTTAAAATAACTTACCAAACCAATCGAAATTCTTACAATATTACGTTAAATTTTTTAACTACTTAAATCGATTTATTTCCAATTTCTACATTTATGGAAGCTCACTTTGGCAAAATTTAAATCTTCTTTTTTAATTAAATTGAATTGTTAACTAATATAATAAAACTGTATAAGGGGCGGTGTCCCGTCGGTAACGCGACAGTGCTTGACACGCACTGCCTCGAGTTCGAAACTGGGTGACGGGCGCCTTTAGTTGCTGAGCGAGAGATCAGTTCAGTAATTAGAGTCGCCATCCCTTACTTCGACGACGAACTAACTACCCGTCCCGGAGTATCAACGGTTAAGAAACTTCCTACTTTGGGGGAGGCCGCTACAGCCCATAATGGGCTTATAAAACGTTTAAAAAAATGTTAAACTACAACCAAAAAAAAATTTAAAAGAAGAAAATGATTAAAATAAACGTTATATATTTTAATTATCCTAAGCTATGGCTTTATTTTAAAGTATTTTTATCATATTTATACCCCATTATTCTTGCTCCTACTGGGTTGAATTTGCTCAACGATACGTCAAAAGATCACAAAACGTGTATAGTTGAAACTATCGGTGCCTTAATACTGAAAAATTTTCCTCAACCCTGGTAATAAAGAGAAATGTTCCAAACAATTACAGTTATTGGTAAAATTAGCATAGTTTGATGTTTTTTGCTTAGCAACGGATCATCTACACCATTCAAAACTAAATCCAAAAACCTTACTATCTTAAAACCTGCATTAAATTAAAGCTAATACAATGAAAAATAAGATGAAAAATTATACGAAATATCGATTTCTAGGAGTTATTATAATTACTAAGGCATTAAAGCCAAAAATCAATTTTTGGTAAGACTAATTGATTTTGTAATATTTTGCACAATAAGTAATAACTAATTAAGTTAGTAAAAACTAAAACAGGTATAATATATTAAATCGTAATACCCATGTATTTATTGATTAAGCACACAATTTGATTATTTATTTCTTAACTTAAAATTTTTATTTTAATAACAAACCTAACTAAACTATTTACTAGGTAGCTAATCTCGAAGCTTAATGTCTTTATTTTAAAGAACATCATGCTTATAGACAAAGCTTGAGATCACAATTCTCTCAGTTTATATTTAAATCAACTTAATAACAATTTTATTGGACTAAGTATGTTGCAATTCTATACTTACTGCGTAACTAGTTTCGGAACTGAATGTCTTTGTTTCAAAAGAACATCGCGTGTTCCAATTTCTGTCTACTGTAAATTTCACTGTGACATTAACTATAATCCTGTGGATCTTGCTTGATTAATTTTAAAATGGGTATTATATAACAAAAATTAAAAAAAAAAATTAAATGTTTTTTTATTATGATGTACTTTTTAAACGCTTATCTTCGCTGTAAAATAATAGTTCATAATAGTTTATGATAAAATAAATTTACTTAAGGCATAATGTGACTATAAAAGGTGATTTACCCTAAGTAGTCAAATAAAATTGGCATTGTCTTGCTCATAAATTTTCATTATACATAACTTTGATTGAGTTCATTAACTAAAAATAGTATTCGAGAAGGAGCCCTGAATAAACAAAATATTAACCAACAAATTACATCTCCAAATCATTCATACTTAATAACTGTCAAATTAATTAAAAGAAAGAAATTCAAAATATTATAGCAAGACTCAAAGTTCATAATAAATAATAAAAGAAATTAATATGAGTTTGATTGATTGTTTATACTTCTTTTTTAGTTGTAATATTAAAATTACCTCAATTATCCAATAAATTAAGAATTTTGAAATATTCTTCTGGTATAGGTTATTATACAAATTGTAACATGAATCTAATGACACAGATCAGAACCTTAAATCACTATTTTAGACAATTGTACAACGTATTATACCTTGTTTCGCATTACCAATACTGTCAGAATTCTTTGTATAAAAAGCTTTGCATTTTTCTCAATTTACGAAAAACGTGAACGTCTTTTACTTTCTCAAATATTATTGAAAGATTTAGCACAGAAACACTGAAATATTTATTTATTCTAAAGTATACATAAAATGTTACGAGTCACAACCATGTTTTGATGCAATGTGTTTTATTTTTATTATTAGCGTACAAAATGAGTAAAAGTTTAAATTGGAAAATGTAGCCTTGTAAAGGTATTTATTTAATGAGACTTCAGTTCTTTTATCATATGGTTTTTACACAAACTGAATTATTAATTAAAAAAGATTATAATTTTCTTTACATATTTTTATAATATCGTTATTTTTACTAAAACAGTGCGTATCTCACTTTTTCTAGATTTTCAAGATTATCCAAAAAAAAAAAAAAAATTGATTTATACAAGTGGTGATTTTATTTTCATAGCTATCGTTAGAAATATGAGTCTTACAAAAAATATTTAAAAAAAATAATGTTCAGAAAAACTTTTATAATTATTTTTGATAAAAATCTCAGTTTGTCAAATTTTGAGATACGTACTGCTGCAGTATAAGCAAAGATTTGTAGGAATTAAGTTAAATCCAATTATTTTCCATAAATAAAAGTTAGATTTCACGTAATGTTTTTGTATGATTAATTATTATATATATTCTAATTTGTATTAAAGATTATTGAACATATCTCATAAAGTATATGTTAATCAATTTTTAATTACTCCACTAGTAAAGAAATAGATAAACCAAAAATAAAAATGAAAGGATCAAAACTAAATGCAAAACCTAAAATATTTAGAAAATAGTGTAGTTTTTAAAATAATAATTAGATATTTTTTGTCATTATCCAAAGATATAATATGTGTAAAACTACTTGGTAAACGTACGTTTAAAACTATATATATTTGAGACTTCAATCATTTTACTGAAGAATATAAAACAGTTCATGAACATATACTGATCTATATATGAATTTACATTATTAAAAAAAAAATAACATACATGGGAAATGTACATTACGATAATATTAGGTATACTATTGTTTGACACGTGGATTATGCTTATTTGACTTCTATGTCAAATTTTGTTAGATTTTCCATATAATTATCTCAGTCCAACATCATTTGGTAGTTTAGCTATATTTACATATTAATCAGTCAAAATTATATTCTATTAAACATTTGAAGATAGAATTATATTAATTGATATGTTAAACTCAAAATATATTCAATTGGTATCAAGTCAATTTACGTGATTTATACCACATATAATCTGTAGTTACAATAAATACATAATATCAATGACCCTGAGGTAACTGCATTTGTATCCCCCTAACAATTTATATATTTATATAATAAACATTTATTGTGATTTTTAAATTATTTTCTATTCGTATGAAAATAGGTTTGTTAAAATTAGGTTTTTTTCCAAGTCTTTACAATGACAAATCAGTATACTGAAATTTAAATTTATCATTTAAAAATTAAATAAATGTCATTTCAGAATATTTAATTTTAAGACATTGATATCAACAAAAATCTAGAAGATTACAGCAATGCATTTAAAATACATTTTATTAACTAATTGAATATTTCAATTATTTAAGTCAAAACATTAATATTTCAATTATAAAAAAATTTATAAATTTTATGCATTTACATATTGAGTTAATAATTTATTAAATTATTAAAAGATAATTCTTTTAAGGCTAGTCACTTAATTTCTTTTAAAATAATATTTTTTATTTTAGTTTTTATTAGTTATCGAAGATATTAGATTTGCATCAAAGCGTTTTTTATGATAGTGATTTTAATCACTGTCAGATTAAATCTTTACTGGACCGAACTATGCCACGTCCCCACTGTGATGAATTTTTTTAATTGTTAATAACTTCTGACGTAATGGTGTAATTATTACTTTGTAATTACATAATTTTATACTTTATATGCTAGCAAAATATGTATGTTTTCATAAAAATAAATAAAATTGACCACTCTGTAACACATAAGGTATAAATATGTTTAACTAACAAACACTAAAATAAAACATTCACAAAAAAATTGTTATAGTGTTAAAAAATCACCTTGTAAGTATAGAAGGGATTAAACTGACTTAAATACAAAATTCGAACTCATTAGAATGACTTAAATATAACATAATATGTCTAAATAAATGTATTAAATAAATCATAAGATAATTACTTAAAATATTGTACTACAAAACAAACATTTATTATTAAAATATTATACCAGCAAACTCATACAGGCCAGAATAAACATTCGAAATATGGTACGTTCTCGTAATATCATATGACATTAATCAAAAGAAGTTCATGCAAAATATTAAACTAAATCACTGCTTAAATAATATTTTATTAATTTACTAAATAAATAATAAATCTTGATTCATAAGAATAATTACGACTAGTAAATGAAAGCGGATAGTCAAAAAATAGAATACTATGAAGAATCGTGTTTTTTTTTAATAGTTTGATTCTACGTACTAAGAAGTATGACTATAACTTAGTAAAACTATAATTTTATAAAAATGACTCATACATTTTACTTTATACGTTTTTAAAATTTCTCATTTATACTTTTGAATAGTCAAATTATACAAACATATTATTTATAGCTATAATAATCACAAAGCACATGTTTTTTTTAATTATAAATCAAACAATAATCATAAATACAATATAATTATTAACTTACTTTTAGCATCAAATCCCAAAATGAAATAAGGACATGGAAATATTGCTATTTCTCCGGCTTTAGTTCGGTTAACGCAAGTCCATCCATCAAATTCACGAGGACACCATGAATTGTCTTGATTAGATCCTAAAATATTACGATAAATATAAATAACATTACTTTGTTGTATAAAACGTATACATTAAATTATTTAATTATTTAACTATGTATCCATATTTATTGAATTTTTTTATTGTGCATCACCATAAGTAATGTACACGCTAACGAACAGCATGTAATAATAGCGTATACCAAATTGAAAGAGGAGGTAGACAAGTTCAACTTAATCGAGTCAAATACGTTATGCGTTTTTAATTATGATCGATTTCAGTATTAAAATACATTATTCCTACTGTTTTAATGTATGCAAAATTTCATGGAAGATTATGAAATTTCTTGATTAATTAATGAATTTGACCAACATAAAGTGAACATTTTTTACTGAACGCTCTAAATAATTTTTACTGTTCATATGATCAATAAAAAAATTACTTATTATTTAATTCTTTAACATAGGATTTTTGTCTGAAATTATCATAGAGCATTTATTAATGTTATTTTTTATGTAATTATTAATACACTACTGAACGAAACAACTATTATCAGATTGAATAGAAATAGTATATGGAGGCGTATATATGGGCTTGAATATGTTACACGGCTCAGGTACTAGAAATTGCCATTCGTAATAAAAATGAAATGCCTGGAAAACATTATTTTTCATAATTAACGGATAACGGACAAAATAAAATGTACGATGAACATACACAAATAGCGATATTTTATAATAAAAAATGTATGTTACTATAATTTGTTGATATGTTTAAAAATTAATTTATAATTCATAAAATAAAATACTATTACAATAGATTTAAAATCTTGTAATTTTTTCAATATTATAATTTGTTTTTGCCTCTTTTATCAAAAATTGTTTATTTATTTACATTTAATCAATTAATTTTTAGACAAATTGAGTTGTGACACAAATTTATACAACATGAGAAATAACAAAAAGAGTATTTAAAACAAACATAATAATACCTAATATTAATTGTGAAATATTACTCAAAATTTAATGAATATTTAATAAATAATAATAATAAAAAAGATAGTTATAATTTTTTTTGTACTAAAGTTTAAATTGTATTAGACAAGCTAAGTAAAATCTACATAACTTTTAAATAATATAAAATCATCATTAAAAAAATCCTTAATACCATTTACAGAATTAACCTTTACTCCATAAATGTTATGATTAAAATAAATAGTATTTAATTTTAATGCAATTGTAGTATAGCTACATTTTTTTACATTTAGTTTTAAATCATTATTATTACGCCAAAGCAATTAATATCATTTTTTAATAATTGTGTCATAATATAGTTAGAATTTTTTTTATATATTTTTACGTTGTCTGCAAATAAAAGATGTTTTGATTTTTAAAACTAATGAAATATCATTGATAAAAATAAAAAATGAAAGAGAGGACAATTGGCCATTTACGGAACTCCATCTCAAGTGGATTTGATAGAAAATTAGACAATTTAACTATTTGAAATCTCTTAGTAATAAAAGATTTAAACCAAGACTAAGGATCAGCAAAACAGTTTAATTTCAATTTATTTAATAATAAATTTTGATCTATATTATTAAAAACTTTTTTAAAGTCCATGAAAATCGAATTATTTGGAGTACCAGTATTAAAATAATCAAGGATATATTTTTAAAACATTACTAAATTTTTGTTAATTAAACGTTCACTTCGAAAACCATGTTGCTCATTACATATAATTTATTTCAACACATTGAAACTTTCCGATTTATTTATTTTTTTAATAATTTAGAAATTATTAAGATTATATTATTAAGTTTATAGTTTAGTTTTCTGTATTTTTTCTCCTTAAAAAAAACAAATGTAAGTTTTTTACAAATCTGGAAAAGTATTGGTTTTTAAATATATAATAAAAATTAACCAAATAGGTTAATAGAAAACAACTCTTATAAAAATTTAGCTGGTAGTTTATCGGTCTAGGTAAAATGTTGTTTATTGTTTTTCTTCAATATCTAAATTACTAATTAAAAATATAAAACCAAAAAGAAATACATTACATTTTATAATAATATTAGTTAAATAATTACAATACTCGGAATAATTTTATAATTTAAACTAATTATATTCTAAATGTATACAAAAAATCCAATTTGAATGCTTTATAAAATATAGGAGTTACTTTATTTTAAATAAATCTTCACTTATTTTTGGTATTCAATCAATTTTTTATTTTAATTAGGTTAACAGTACTAGTAAACTATTTATGTCGATTAATCATTCACCTATCTTCAAATCATTGTATTTAATGAATGATTCGGTAATCAGTAAAATGGTATTAATGATGTTAAGTCTAAAATAACAAATGGGTTAACAGTTACTTGCAAGAATTGAACAACCTTTTAAAAATATTATTTTTAATGAAATTTAATAGTTAATGAGTAAAACATAAATGCATTAAATAAAATGTTTCCTTTTACTTTATTGGCTCATTAGATTTCCCCAAATTTTATGTCGCTCTCGTCTCAACCCTTTCAAAGCCGACTTTTCATTTATTATTAAAATAACTGAAAAATAGATAATTTCTGATTGTTGGCTCTAGGAAGCTTAAAGATAATTTTCACAAAATATATTATTTAATCGTTTTTTTTTATTTGATTTTTACTTATTGTTATTTAAAAAATAGTATTTTTTAGTATACAGAGTGATTTTATTATCATAACCCACTAAATTACTTACAGAATAAAAAGAATATTAAACATTTTGTGTTTTGGATACCTTAAGTTACATATCATTCTTGAATTATTTACTATGTAATACATTTTAAGTTCGTCCTTTATGCATTGTATGGGTTTTAACTTTGTTTTTTTGAAATATGAACATATATATTTAATACACCTTTGAGATTTTATTTTAATAGTAAATGGTATTAGAATTTTTAATACAATATTATTCATTTATTATATATAAAACTTTCAATTTCAAATTTTTAAGTTAATATGCATGTTTAATATACAAGGGGATACAGGTTACAAATACAGGTAGATAATTGGTTTTAGCTTCGATGCGAAGCTGAGAAGGTATTGGTTTTACTATGTGTTTTTGTTTTTTTGTGTCTGTTACCACTTTTTCTCAACTCTCACCGAACAGATTTCTTTCAAAGATTCGTCGAAAGATCACAAATCGTATCTAGTCGAAGACATTACCCTTCAAAATTGAAAAAATTTCCCTCGTTCCCCGTAAATGGGGGAAACCTCCAAAAAAATTACAAATTTAAAAATTGCTAATTTTCGAAATTTTTTCAATTTTTTTTACTAAAAACTGCCGTAACTTATTCAAAAATGAACATATCAATATAATTTTTGACTTTATAATGCTATAACTTTTTGAAAGATGTATGGATCAATATAATTCTTTTTTTATATAGATGCTTGATGTTTTTACCTATCATTTGGTATATTTTTTTTGTAAATTTGACCTTTTTTCTGCCCACAGGGGGGGATTTAAAATGACAACTTTTTCACAAAAAATTAACTTTTTCAACTTAACTTTTGAAAATGTTCCGGAAGGTCTGACACTTTTATATATATCTTAAATTAAAGCTTATGTAATATACTTTAATTTGAAAAAAAAAAATTTGACCTCTGGACTTGTCTTCGTGGTGAAAGTTGACATCAAAGTTAATAAAAAATTACGATTTTTGTAAAATAATTTTTTTTTATATTTTTAACTTAATAATGCTCTAACTTTTTCAAAAATGAACATATCAATATAATTTTTTTTTATATAGATGCTTGATGTCTTTACTTATCATTTGGTATATTTTTTTTGTAAATCTGACACTTAATCTGCCCACAGGGGGGGATTTAAAATGACAACTTTTTCACAAAAAATTAACTTTTTCAACTTAACTTTTGAAAATGTTCCGGAAGGTCTGACACTTTTATATATATCTTAAATTAAAGCTTATGTAATATCCTTTAATTTGAAAAAAAAAAATTTGACCTCTGGACTTGTCTTCGTGGTGAAAGTTGACATCAAAGTTAATAAAAAATTACGATTTTTGTAAAATAATTTTTTTTTATATTTTTAACTTAATAATGCTCTAACTTTTTCAAAAATGAACATATCAATATAATTTTTTTTTATATAGATGCTTGATGTCTTTACTTATCATTTGGTATATTTTTTTTGTAAATCTGACACTTAACCTGCCCACAGGGGGGGATTTAAAATGACAACTTTTTCACAAAAAATTTACTTTTTCAACATAACTTTTGAAAATGTTCCGGAAGGTCTGACACTTTTATATATATCTTAAATTAAAGCTAATGTAATATACTTTAATTTGAAAAAAAAAAATTTGACCTCTGGACTTTTCTTCGCGGCGAAAATGGCTACCGAATGCTATTTTCGTGTGATAATTCTCGATTTTATTATTCATATTATATTTAACTTTATAATGCTATAACTTATTGAAAAGTTTATGGATCCACACAATTTTTTTATGAGAAATAATTTTTTTTAATAAACCCTTTTTCATTCGACATACTTTATCTTAATCGAGATATTAAGGAACCAGCAGATCAAGTAGCTTTTGGAATAAAACACCAATTTTTTTAAAATTAAACACTATCTAAAGATTTGCATCGAAGCGTTTATTTTTGATAGTGATTTTAATCACTGTCAGATATCATTATACTTGATCCAACTATACCACGTCACAACTGTGCCGCGACCCCCCTGTGCTGGGTTTTTTTTTAGGGTGAATGTAATGAAGGAGGACTTGGATTCATTGATTTTGATCTTCCATCTTTTTTTATATTATAAACATGTTTTAGTTCGATTTGAATCTGAGAAGGTATTCGTTTTATGTATTTTTGTTTTTTGTGTCTGTTACCACTTTTTCTCAGCTCTCACCAAACCGATTTCTTTCAACGATACATCAATAGATCTCAAATCGTATCTAGTTGAAGACATTACCCACAAAAATTGAAAAAATTTCCCGTAAATGAGGGAAATCTCCAAAAAAATTACAAATTTAAAAATCGCCAATTTTCAACATTTTTTCAATTTATTTTACTTAAAATTACCATAACTTTTTTAAAAATGTCAAAATCGATATAAATTTTTTTATATAGATACCTTAGATATTTACCTATCATTATGATATATTTTTGTGAACATTTGACTTTTTACGGCCCACAGGAAGGGTTTAAAAATTGCAACTTATTCACAAAAAATTTAATTTTTCAACTTAACTTTTGAAAGTGTTCAGGTAACTCTGACACTTTTATATATATATATCTTAAATTAAAGTTAATGTAATATACTTTAGTATGAAAAAAAATTCGGACTTCATTTTGTCCTCACAGTAAAAATGGCTACCAAATTCTATTTTTGTGTGAAAATTCTCGATTTTATATTTTACATATTAAACTTTATTATACTATAACTTTTTGAAAAATGTATGTATGTAATTATATATATAATTACATATATATATATACAGAGTGGAACGCATCTAACTGACAACTCATATAACTTATGATCTACATAACATTTTTTACTTTTTTTTTTTTAATCAATTTGTACAATATTGAACTATATTTAAAATATGTTATTTTTCGCAATTAAAAAAAATATTTTAAAAATTAATTTTTTTATTAAAATTTTTTTTAAGATTTTAAGATAGCTATTTCATAGATAAGTTTTAAAGAAAAATTTTGATACCAAAAATTCTTATTTTAATTCAGTAGTTACGTTTATACAGCATTTTGAAATTTGTTAAATTTTGATTTTTTACACAATTTTTCTATGGTATCAAATGTTAGTCCATATTATGTAATATACATAAGTAAACACTTATTACGTTATTTATTGGTAACGGTACACGATTTCTTTTCATTGAATAACAATAACGTTTAACGTGCTTTATATAGAAATTATTATCTCTAATCTTTATTACAAAAGTTAGAAACATTATCGTATGTCAACTACGAGTGTTCCATGATTAGCCAAGTTAAAAGTGATAACAATTATTAATTTGCGTGATTCTATAATTGTAATCATATTTTAATAGGATATTCCTTGTTAGGAGATTTGATAATAAATGCACTTTTTCACTATTATTTACGTTTCAATTTATGATATATGAACTTATTTAATTAAAAATTAAACATGTTTTAGACAATGTTTCTATAATTTTTTTTTTTATAATCTTAATTATACTATTACTTGTTTTTTCATGTCAATTACAAATGCTTATTCAAATGTTAATAATTTTCATGGAAAAGAAATCGCGTACTATTACCAGTAAATAATGTAATAAGTGTTTACTTCTGTACTTTGCATAATATGAACTAAAATTTGATACCATAGTAAAATTGTATAAAACAACCAAATTTAACAAACTTCAAAATGCTGTATGAACGTAACTACTGAATTAAAATAAGAGTTGTTGGTATCAAAATTTTTTTTTAATTTATCTATAAAATAAATAAAAAAATAATATTTAAAATATTTTTTGTAATTGCGAAAAAAAACATAAAACATATTTTAAATATAGTTCTATATTGTAAAAATTGATTTAAAAAAAACCCAGCACAGGGGGGTCGCGGCACAGTGGTGACGTAACATAGTTGGATCAAGTATAATGATATCTGACAGTGATTAAAATCACTATCATAAAAAACGCTTCGATGCAAATCTTTAGATAGTGTTTAATTTTAAAAAATTGGTGGATTATTCCAAAAGCTACATAATCTGCTAGTTCCTTATTAATATCCTGATTAATATAAAGTATGTCGAATGAAAGAGAGATTATTAAAAAATATTATTTCTCATAAAAAAATTATATTGATCCATATATTTTTCAAAAATTTATAGCATTATAAAGTTAAAAATATAAAAAAGAATTTTTTGACAAAAATCGTATCTTTTTATTAACTTTGATGTCTATTTTCACCACGAAGACAAGTCCAGAGGTCAAATTTTTTTTTAAATTATTGTATATTACATTAGCTTTAATTTAAGATATATATAAAAGTGACAGACCTTCAGGGTAATGTCTTCGACTAGATATGATTTGAGATCTTTTGAAGTATCGTTGAAAGAAATCGGTTCGATGAGAGTAAAATTAATACCTTCTCAGTTTCGCATCAAAGCTAAAATATGATTTTTGTAAAAATTTCTTTTTTATATTTTTAACTTTATAATTATATAACTTTTTAAATATGTTATGCTACAATATAATGTTTTTTTTTATAAATACTTGAGGTAATTACCTTTTATTTGATTTATATATATTTTTAATCCGACTATTTAACTGCCCCCTGTGAGGATTCAAAATGATAACTTTTTCACAAAAAATTAACTTATAAATAATAAAACTTGTAATCAGGGTATAAATAAGGATATAGGAGATCATGTAGCTTTTGAAATAATCTACCTATTTCTTAAAATTAAACACTATCTACAAATTTACATTGAAGCATTTCTTATGATAGTGATTTTAATCACTGTCAGATATTATTATACTTAACCCAACTATGCCACATCACCACTGTGCCGCGACCCCCCTGTGCTGCATTTTTTCTATTATAAGTCTAAAGCAAAGGATTGCTTCCTTTGTTCTTTTATTCCGTCTAAATCCATTTTTTCAGTATGAATATCATCTCACAATTTTTCAAATATTTTTTTCTGTATTTAATACTTTTTTTTTTTTAAACTCTTATCCTAATGAAATCTTTTAAAGAATATAAAAGACACTAAGCTTTTTTTTGATAAAGTTGCAATGTATGAGAAATTATTAGACAATTTGTTTTAATATTATAGTAAATTTCAACAGCTTTAATTTTATATAAGTTAAAATTTTAAGCTGAGAACTTTTTTGGACAGACATTAAATATTAACATTATGAGAACACAATGAGAACAATAGAAACCCGTTTCCTTACTTAATGAACACTCTATATATATATATATATATATAGATTTGACAATATTAATTTGCAATTTTTTTAGGTGGATTAATTTGGTTTAACCTACAAATACCTAATAATGAATTAAGCGAACTATTTTATAAAATTCTTAAATATTTTATATTATAGGCAGTTCTATACTTTTTCCCATGAAAAGATTGTCAACCTCTGATAGTATTAAGATTTAAAAGAACAGCTAATTTAATTAGAACGTATTTGTTTAATATAATGCTTACTAGCGGTCACTAAGTCGCTGTATGACTTTTATTGANAGGTCACTGTATGACTTTTATTGGCACTACCAAAAACGCATCACAGATCACTTACTACAGATAATATAATATGTTATGTGTAGTACATAATATTATTATGTACTCATGTATAGACAGTTTCTAAAAATATAAGTTAATGGTGACTATTAGACACTATAAATATGCTAGTGATTTCATTTACTGCAAAATTATTTGCTACTCGAGATTACAAGACAATACAAAATACAGACAAGCAAATATTACTAAATTATTTAACTCGTATCAGTATTTATATACCAGTTTTAAGTTTCATAAAATTTACTAATTTTTTAACACAATCATTTCACATTTAAAAGAAAACATTTTATTCAACCATCACATAAATATATCAGATTTCGAGAAATTCTGGGGGTGTGACGCCGCATTGCAACGCCTTACAACTATAAACTTGTCTTCATGTTACTATTAAAAAACCATTGAGATGTATAATTTTAATGATATATATAGTCTGGTGTTAAAAGAAATATTTTCCTATCCGTTTCATTTGAAAAAATTATTTTCGGACTCGTATTTTTATTTGTTAAGAGATGATCAAAGATATATGTAAGTAAAATTCCCCAAATCAAATAGATAGTTACCATCAAATACAGATGCGTAATTTATTGTTTAAATCAGGGCTTGGAACCGGTTACAAATATTTTCCGAATGACTCTTAAAAACTTCTTTTTCAATCAAGAACTTATTTACGGTTTTTTTTTTAAAATAAAAGTAATCTGTTACCGATACTCAAATATTTTACTAGATTATTAACCAGTATCCAACAGCCAACACATTAGTGAAACGTTTTATAATTAAAACAAAATGAAATTACATTAACCAGTTAAATACAAAAAAGATTAATTAATTTTAATAAAGTTTCATTAAAATTGAAAATACATTTTTTAGTAATGTAATTGCGTATTGAAAAACATTGTATAAAAAAGTGATAGGGATTGTCAATTACATGCATGTACAATCATTGGCACGAACATAATTTACTGTTATTTTATTAATCAATATATACTCATTTTCTTATTAAGTCATTTTATTTTATCTTTCATATTAAACACAACAAATTGGTAACGAGGAAATCATTTCTTAGCTCATACTATCTATATTATGATTTAGATAACAATTAACTAGTTAATATAAATTATAAATTTTTAATTAAAAAAGTGTAGAGAAAGTTTTCTAATTAAACTAAAATGACTGACGTAAGACCTTCGGTGAGTTTTGATCAAATTATTGTAATGGTTTTTAAGTCGAAATTGATAAATTTACTTTTGGTAAATGTAATCGATAACGAAGTACAAAAGAAAGCCATATTGTTATTTTCTGTAAGTGAAGAGATTCAGAAAATTATATTTATTTTGTGTGTACCCAGCACACTACACACTAAAACATACAGTACATTGTTATATCTTCTAAGTAAATATCTCAAGCCGGTAAAATTATATTTTGTAGCTAGACATACATTTTATCTGACAAA